GTCTCCTGTTATCTTTTATGAAAAAAAGGTTCCACCCAAGTTTCCTTCTTAATCCTGATTGCCTAATTTTCAAATTGTACCCCCTGGTGTTTAAAATCTTTACAACAACTTGCATTTGTACAGGACCTTGTATAATAGCATAACATCTTAGAACATCTTATATTATACAATCAGATTAAACAGGGTGCTTCCCTCTGGAGAGAGAGCAGACAGTGAAGAAATAAATAAAAATTCAATTCATGACTGTTCGTGGGATACTGTTCTCCACAATTGGCTGCCGCGTTTCACCCACAAAATATACAACCAATTCATTTTACAGTATATTCTGTGAAGGGCTTTGAGCTATCTCGAAAACGTGATAAGACGCTATATCAAATGCAAGGATTATTATTATTATCTTCACAATCACAGATCAGGTGGCGAACAAGGAAGCAGAGAGAGGACGAGGGGACAAAGGGAGAAGTATGGTCAAAGAGGTAAATTTTTAGATGGAGAGATGGGGGTAGAGGAAGTTTCAGAAGTTAGGGTCAAGGGAAGGGACCTATATAAATGCAAGTTTTTGTTGTACTTATATCCTTCAATGATGATTTTAAGCAGATGCTCAGTCAGTTCTTTTTGAATAAAATAGTCAACTTTTTTTGTTTCACATATCAATTCTATGCGGGGGAGAAATTACTCTCATATCCAGCATGAGGGTTTTAAATTATAAATCTAGTTTATTCTCTTGTACCAAGAATGGCTAATTTGTGACCCATGTGACTATTCTAGGCATGAGTAATGTGGCCCGTGGGCCTCAAGTTGTCCTAAACTAGACTATGCTATCATGGTCCAGGTGGAACAGCTGATGAGTCTATAATGTCTATTCCTCCCAATATTTTAAAGATCTGCATCTTGCATCCCTCATCTATATTCTAACGAGAATAGCCTTAACTCTGTGAACCTTTTCTTGGATCTAAGGGCTCAAACATCTGCAATTGTAGGCGCGGGGCTGGGCAAGGCCATCGAGGGATTAGAAAGTGGTGACGAGGATATTGAATTGTATCTGCTGGGGATGGTGAGTTGAGCAAGAATGTGGATGATGGAGTTTCAGAATTTGGTGCTGGAGAGTTCTGGATTATCTGCAGCTTGTGTCAGGAGGAACTGCAGAGTCTAGTGGGTAGCACAGTGGAATAATTGAACCTGGACATGATGAAGGTGTGGTTGAAAGCTTCAGCAGTTGTAGAGAGTTAGAACTCGTCCAGGATTCAATATTTGAAATTTGAAAGGCAATTGGTCCTGAAAACGAGGATTGAGACGGGGAAATAGAATTGAGTATCATCTGCATATATGAGGAAATGGACCACATACCTACAAATGATGCCACTTTGGGGAATCGCATAGATAGTGAGAAGAAGGAGTCCTAAGGAATGCCAAATGTGAGTATGTGGGGCAAAAAGGAGAAGTTATTGGGAAAGACAAAAATAAAGACCCTGGGATAGGTAGGAGTGAAACCAGGAAACCAAACCATAGAGTTGCAGCTGGGAGGAGAGATGGTGATGAAGGATAGAATAGTCGATGGTGTCAATGGCAGTAGAAATGTAGAAGAGAACAAAGAGACAAAAGCAGCCCTAGTTGCAGACAGAAAAAATGTTATTGGTGACTTTGAACTAGGACATTCTCAGTGCTAAAGGTGGAAACAAGACTGGAGGAGTTCAGAAGGGGAGTGGTGGGAGAGGAAGGAGCAAAGCGGAGGCAGGACCATAGGTGAGATAGAGGGTGGAGGAGAGGCAATTGTGCAAATCCACTCAATTTTTAAACTCAAGGAAGTCCATCTCACATTTGGAGTTGGAGATGAGGATGGAGAGAACATGGTTGGAGTGGGCAAAGGAGGTGGTTGTTGGTGGAGAAAGGAGCCTAAGGTTATCTTTGGCCTCCAGTAGAAATTACCAACTAAATTAAGTTACCATCCTCTTCTGCTGCACTCATATTTTGCTCTAGAATGGCAGATTAGTTCCTGAAATTTCAAGAGGGTGCTTCAATGCCGCAGAACCAGCTTGAAACAAAGTATCATAAAGAAAGTTATGATACAATAGAAAATTAGATTATCCAGATCTTTAAAATAGCACCTTTCATGTTGGGAGCACATCCCAAGGCACTGGACAGTCAGGGATTTGGACCTGAGCGTAGGGTTGGGATTGGGGAGGGTGTTGGGCAGGAGGGTGGCCGAAGGCTTGGTCGAAGAGGAAGGTTTTGAGACGTGAAGGAGGCAAGGGAAGGGAAGGATCGAGGCAAAGGGATGTGGGATGGAGTTCCAAAGGGTGAAGCAGAAAGGCTGAAGGCCTGGCCGACGATGGTGGAGTGGGCCGGGCGGGGGAAGTGGAACAGGTTGCAGAGGTAGGAAGGAGCCCTTGCTTGGAGGGCTTTGAAGGCAAGGATGAGGATTTTGAACTCTGTCCTCTGGGGATGGGGAGCCAGTGGAGGGTGGGGGTCACAGTGCCTGGTGTGGGAGAGGACACAGAGTTCTGGATGATCTAGCTTGTGGAGGGAAGATTGGAAGTTGCGGGGGAGAGACAGGTTACTCAGCATGATCTTAAATATCAAACAGTAACAAATTAGCAGCATTATCACAATGAATAAATTGTAAAAATGCTGCTAATCTCATATCAATGTGTGCACGTTTTATGTTGTAATTCAAAGTACATAGAGTTGGGCAGGTCTTGTAGATTAAAGCTGAAAGGTGGGTCCTGTGTGGGAGAGCAACTGAGGAGGAACAGCTGTGAGAGATGATAAGAGGAGTGTGTAATGGTGTTATCTCGTTGAATATGTGCTCCAGACACTTTCCCCCTTATATCTAGAGACCAGGACAGTGGTTTGGAAGTCTGCTTCTATATAATCGTGGTCAATAATTTCACTAAACTAATGAAAAACATCAACAAATTAAATTTGTATAGCACCTTTATGTAAGGAGGACGTCCCAAGGTGCTGGACAGTCAAGTGGATGGGATCAGGAGGGTGGGGAGGGATAGAAAACAAAGTACAATCTCAGGAGGTATATAGAACTCAAAGTGTATTAACAACATTAACAAAAAGGAGAGTCAACTTTTGAGGTGAATTCTTCTGATGCAGGTTAGTAACCAGAAGCTCCATTAATACATTATATATAGGTTTCTTCAGATTAAATTACTGAAAGCATTGTGCATAAGAGATGCGTTAAAGAAAACACATTTTCATTTTGAAGGGGTAATTTTCCCCCAAGATATTAAAATTATGTTACCATTCCAGAAATCTGGTTATGAAGTTTCTTCTGAACCTCTTAACAAATGGCACAGTCATAATATTCCTTGGATTTGGTATACAGCCTTTCAAGCAGGGAGGATGTCTCAAAGCACTTCACAGGATTCGCTCTAGGGTGTAGTGACTGTACATTTTGAGCACTGAGGCCAATTTACACACAGCCTGAACTGGGAGTTCAAAGTCCTGCTCTGGGTCTTGAACCCACAACCTTTGACCCAACTGACCCAAGCTGACCAAACGACAATGAAGCTTTTATCTTCTTACCTACATTAAAAGTAAAATTGAACATCTTAATTTTGCTATTGGTTTTACTGCATGGTACCTACTGAGTTTACACTGTGTTTTCTTCAGATATAGTTTTAATAACCTTAGTAACAGGATTGCCAGTTTTGACGTTAGAAGCGGGCTTTCAAACCATTTGTTCTAATTTACATTCAAACCTTTACCTCCAGATGCAAGGAAGAAATAGTTGAAGCACATTATACATGACATCCTCACTGCCACAGCCCAGTTTTACTCTTCTATTCAAGTCTCCCTGTATTCAGGTCTCAAAATATTAGTCTGCCTTCTGCCTTGGGATCTTTTCCCAGCTGGAACTCAAAAAGAAGTGAGAAAATAGGCTTTCAAATTATGACTGAATTTAAGACTTCCAAAATTTTGCATAATTCTACATTTAAAGACAATGAGAATTTCAGCCTCAAATATCTGTATTTTAAGCAATTCAGTGTCATTGGGGAACATTTCTCCAGTGCTGTCAAGTTTTATTTTAGGGTGCATAACAAACTAGAAAACAGTACAATAGAAGGTTTTGACATACAGTGTGAGTCAAAATGGTGACAGATAAAAACATTGTAGACAATGGTTTCACAATATGAAGCAATACATTGAAGACAGTGGTGGTCAATCAGTTTGGTTGGCCAACAAAATAAATGTTCTTGATTGAATATTTCTTGATTTATTCCATAAAACGACAATGGACCTCACATCTGTTAAGCCATTATATATTATACATGTGTGTTTGGTTCTTTTCTACCTGCTTTAAAATTTTTTGCAAGATTTTTAAAAAAATCCAAATTAAAGGAAATTTCCAGGGTGATTTACAACAACAACTTGCACTTATATAGCACCCTCCACGCAGGGTAGCGTCTCAAGAACGCTTCACAGTGGCGGAACCTGACTCCGAGCCGGGGTGGAGGTGGCCACATGCACGGTCGAAGAGGAAAGTATTCAGACGAGAGTTGAAAGAGGGAAGAGAGGGGGCAAGGCGGAGGGATTGCGGGATAGAGTTCCAGAGTTTTGGGGCATATTGACTGAAAGCACGAGCTCTGATGGTGGGGAGAAGGGTGCGAGGGATGAGCAGGAGGTCGGTGTCAGTCGAGAGGAGGTGCCGGGTGGTGGATTGGGGACTGAGGAGGTTGGAGTGGTAGGGAGGTGCAAGAGAGTGAATGGATTTGAACACGAGTCTGAGGATCTTGAAGTTGATCTGTTCAGTGATTTATTTACAAATAAATGCAGGTCAAAGAACTGCATTTCGAAAATGTTCCTGAACAATGAACCCTGAAATACGTTACCAATTGTTGTGGCAGTTTTCTAAATTTCTCAGGGCTTTTTCATTTCTTGATTTAACTTTCCCTTAAATACCCTCAGCAGTCATTTATTTTGCAGTAAATCCAGTGTTTTTATTCATTTCTTAGGACTTTATTTAGCTCTTCAGGATATCTTGTCAAGTTTCAGTTTTCTATATGGAATTGACATTTTTTAGTGCCTAATGAATGACCGTGAACTTACTTTCATACCATCTTTGATATTAAAATTTATTTGTTTTGAAAATAGATAAATGCACACTCGGCCTCATAGACCAGGAAATGCATGCTTACACCATCATGATTCACCTTATTTCGACTAAAATATCGTGAAATACATTGTGCGCATAAAGCTACAAAACAATTGAATATCCTGGTATTTTTGCTCACTTTTTCTCCTCTTCTGGTCATAAAGGCACTGCCAGGTATAGTACGTCTCAGTGCCTTGAATGAGTGCCAATTCCTCATGTGTGAGACTTTTCACCCAATGTCCACACAAGCACTTTTCAGCAGTACTCACTGGATAGCAGTCAAGAATGTGAACCCTGGATGAATTTTCTTTTCCTTAACCCTGGGATGCTGAGGCCAATCCTAGCACCCTGAATGCTGTTTGAGATGATCAGCTAATTCAGCACAGACAGAATCAAACCTTTTGCAAAGTTGGTGCCTTTACGCATTAAGCTACTGGAGCAAGTATCTGAATTCAACACTGCATGCAAAAACATTCAAAGTGTTTCTTTTGAAAATTAATCTAGAATGAAGAATGTTCAAAATAATATTCAAAAACAACTTCCAATTATTTAACACTCACATCATACAGTTCCAATGGAAGTAAAACATCAAATAGATATAATGCACCACAATTGGTAACAAATTCATGTCAATTTTCTAAAATGGACGGTTAATAAATTCCAATAAAAATACACAAGGACTAAATCCCACTAGTGGAGATAATAATAATAAATAATAATAATCCTTGTATTTGATATAGATGATCACAATTTGAGACTTCCTTGTTTATGAGGTATCAAGCTAACCCAATTCTGGGATATGATGTAGCACCAGTCTTCATTATCAGTTTTAGGATATTCCTTAGGAAGTATTCATTTCTATCTAAAGTGGAAGCTGGGAAGGGGAAAGGGTAATTGTCTATTTCCAGATAACTCATTTAATAAGTGAGCTTTTAGTAGTCCACAAGAAATAGTCATATTCTAGATTTTGATAGTGAGGCAGAACGTTGGACCATCAAACTGTGAGATACACTATTAAACAAGGCAGACTCTTTATGTCAATAAACTCTCAATATTAGCTAAAGTGTACTACCCGTGATCCAACATACAGCATTGGCAGTGGTTAGGAAACAAATCTCCTCCTTTTCTTCTAATGAAAATACTATTACGAGGGTAATGCCTTTAAACATTTTTAAGTTATTACATTTCAGTCTTAGAGAATGAAAAAGGGTGAGAAATCACATATTTTGTTGAATGTGAGGGACAAACAGGAAAGCAAGTTTAAATGCTAAATTTATAGACATTTAACAAGTTTCTATTAAAATTTGTAAACCCAAATTAATAAGGTTAAATGAACATTCAAATATATCTGGGCACATCATCCACTAACAAACATACTAACTAAAAAGGAAATACACACAAGGCTAGACCAGGACACCAAATACAATAGGTTTGTTCATAGAGAAATGTTACTTCCTGACAGGAGTATGGCATTCATTCATTTACCTCATCAGCTAAAAAATACAGTACAAGTGTTTGACATATTACATTACATTTTGAATGACTGAGTGGAAAAGAAGTGTAAGTAGCTTAATTTACACCACAGCACTTAGTGCTAAACTCTCCCTCAGGAGCAAAATACATTGGTTAGTGGAAAAATGCAAACCAGAAATGAATTTTGGTTTCTTTACCCCGTCTCCTACCCCCACACAGATTAACGTGTCTATACCTGTGGACCTAAATCTCAGTGCCTCATAATCCAATGATATTCACTGTGGATCCAAAAGTATGTTGTAGCTAAACATGAAAGCTTTCTCCACAGCCACAGGTTCCTGTGATGTTGGGATTGTGAAATATAAATTCACTTGAGAGTTTACTTTCAACATAGTCCATTTCTGTTCCTAGAATTGTCAGCTGTGCCTTCTTTTCAATGAATACTCTAGCACCTGGAAAAGAAAATTAAGTTTTTATTTGAGTGGAAAATCAAACTCTTTAAGATTCAAGCTCAAAAACTATTTGGTTAGGCCATCATGGGATAAACTATACTTTACATTATTTTCTCATGACAAATACAAAGATCCCAACTTCCTGGTAGTTTAGAAATCCTGCTTCAAAATTAAGCAATCATTTACCCTGAAATATAATACAACATGGGTTTTATTTTAGTTATAATGGAGGAAGTTCAGGATGAAATCTCAACAGTAAAATCATTTTTACTTAAGTTAAAGCCATTTATACATATTCAGAAAGGTAGGAAAGTTATAGGACTCAAAAAAATGACAGTTCTAAAAAGGAAACATGTATCTTGATTTCTAATCTGATTGTACTTTTGGCGGTGGAGATCCAGTTCACTGAGCCAGAATTTCGGGCAAAAAATGCATATACAGTGCTGGAAAATGTTGGTAATGTATTTACCAGCACTGAATATGCATTTCTACTGCTGTGTAGAAAAAGTAGTAATATACCTACGAGGATACCAGGTGCCAGAGATATGATATGATAGGATATGAGGCGGGAAGTTGTAAGATCACGTGGGCTGATCAGCGATGCATTAGCGTGTGCTAGGTGGGTTGGGCCACCGAGAGTTACATGTGGTCCCATGGAAATTTGTGGTCTGTGGAATTTTTTAAAATGGGGGGCGTGTCAGTCAGCTAGGGTAAATTCCAGATACCTGGAGTGTGGAGAGCTGGGGTTTGAGTGTATTAGGAACATTTCTCTTATAATATTGATTAAGGGATGTTCTGTACTTACAATAAAACAAAAATGAAAAGAATAACATTCTAAATCATTAAAAAAAACTAACATACTTACCATCCTGGACTACCTCTTCATCAAATTCTCCTTTCTCCTTTGTGTATTCTAAAGTATAAGAAAGACCATTACAACCTCGGGTTCGAACACCAATCTTCAGTCCAAGCTGCAAGAGACAAGATTTTGAAAAATTGCATAATATGTTTTACAGGACAATTTAATGAATTCTATTCAATGTGCTACAAGGACATATTACTTATTTTCAAATCAACAATGTCAAACACCTTAAAGGTGTTAAATATCAAAACTGTGTACTTCATAGCTCTCAATGGTCATACTGAGCTAGGAGTCTAAACTCGATACCGTTGACCAGTCTATCCTCCTCCAATACCTCTCCTCTCACCTCAACCTTCATGGTTCTGTCCTTGAATGGTTCAGATCCTACCTCTCCACTTCATCTCCTCAAACAGTTTCTCCTCTAGCCCCCTCATGCTGTCCTTGATCCCCTCCTCTTCAATATCTATATGCTCCCTCTTGGTGACATCATTCGCAGACATGGGGTCAACTTCCACATGTATGCAGATTGCACCCAACTCTACCTCCCTCCTCCCACCCTTGACTCCAGGACCACTGCTATCCTGACAGAATGTCTGTCAGACATCAAGTCCTGGAGGAGAGCAAACTTTCTTCAATGCTGGTGACAGCATCACTGTCCATGGATGCACATTCCATCTTGCTAAGCCAGTCCGGAACCTCGGCATCTTGTTTGACCCACAACTATCTTTTTTACTCCACATCCGCGCCATGACCCGCTCTGCCTTGCCCCACCTCTGCAACATCGTCCGGCTCTGCCACTGTCTCACATCGCAGGCCTCCGAAACCCTCATATACGCATTCATAACAACCAGCCCCAATTCCTCCCTCCATAGGCTGCAGATCATCCAGAACTCTGCAGCCCGTGTCCTCGCCCACACCAGGCTCCATGACCCTTATCACCGCCATCCTCGCCCGACTCCACTGACTTCCCATCACAGAGACACAGTTGAAGATCCTGTTCTTCGGCTTCAAAGCCGTCCATGGCCTTGTTCCCCTTACCTCTGTGACCTCCTAACCCGCTACCAACCTGCCCGCTCCTTACGCTCAGCGGGCTCTGGTGTGCTTCATGTCCCCTGACTTGCCCTACCTACCATTGGCGGGCGGTCCTTCAGCCATTCCTCCTGGAACTCCATCCCAGTCCCTCCACCTCACACCCTCCCTTGCCTTCTTCAAGCCCCATCTCAAGACCCTCCTCTTCGACCGTGTCTTTGATCACCCTCCTTACCCCCCTGCCCTCCACCCTCCCCGATCCTGACCCTCAGCTTGGGGCCGAAACACTGACTGTCCTTTGGAAGTCCTCCCGACGTTAAAGGAGCGAAACAAATGTAATTTTGATGTTGTTGTTGTAGTAGTACATAGGTAGTTCGGGACATATGTGCATGTGACCGTCAGGAAAGCGGAAGGCGAACTAGACGGACATTGATTTTTTTTGTCCAGCATTTCCCATGTTCTTATGATCTCATACTGTCCAAGAATTTGATACCTCCTCTTAGCTTTGGGGGTTGGCACAATTGACTCAGTGCTGCAGGTTATAGAAAAGAAGAGGAGGAAGAAAAACTCCTAGTTTCTCCTCTTAATTATTATCTTGTGACCCTGCTGGAAATAATGTGCCAACACTCACTATCTAGGCCATACATGAAAAATAGCCACTTGGGTAAGGTGCTGGACGGAGGTCAGGGCCTCTGAATCTAATCAAATGCCTTACAAGTTATATCTGAGAAGTTATTCTAAGACATTTTTTGCATTCCTGAGCCCTATGTCTGTCTGTCTGTCTGAACTCCAGCTTCCAACATCTTAATTACATCTTTACCTGTCTTTCTCCATTTGATCAATGAACAACTGACTTTCCTTTAAGTTCCAAATACTCTGCTTTACTTATCTTCCTTCTCTGCATTGAATTCACACTTCACTGCTGTCTTGACTCTAATCCATTGTCCCAATGTTGTGGCACTTAAACATCTCCTTTAAAAATCTGCAGGCTTTTAAAATCCAGGCTGGCTCTCACCTAACTATTGCTTCATTTTATTTCATCCTCTTTTGTTATTTTTAATCAAGCTGATTATTTTGAACCATGCCCTATGTGCCTTACTTGTCCTTCCCCTGAGTGTCTCAGTTAGAAAAAAGTGAATGTTAAACACAATCCTAATTATAGAAAGCTGTTTGAAAAGCAGACTTGTTGAAGGGTAGGCATGAGAACGTAATTGAATTTTACTCATCTCAAATGCTACAAAAGAAGGGAAACTATGAAGTTCAAAATAACCTACTTTTGAATTGCAAACTCAATCAGTGAAGTGACTTATGGGACAAAAATAAGTTATTTGATGCACTTTGACATTCAGCACTTTCATTTCAGAGAGAAAAAAATGCAACCTGTCTGATATATTTCTAAATCCATTTGGCAAAGAGCAGTCGATTTACAAAAACCACGATACTTACGCACTCAGGCTTTTCCTTCAGCAGTTGCTTGACTTTTGTAACAGCCAAAGGCGTCTAGGAAAATAGAAAATGGGTTATTTTATTTTTTTAAAAATTGAAAATGTTCAACAAATTACATATATTGTGTTCATTTTATACAATTTATTATATATAATTAGACTAGGAATTACAGATGTTTATCCTCTCCAACTAGTGAACTTGCTTGGAGAGGTTCATTCTACCTGAAAGCTAGTGCAAGCTATTGAAGTCATAATTATTTGTTTGCAGAAACTGGGATATCTTTCCAATAGGTTTCCACCCTAATTTCCCACAGCTTGACTTTGCCCAAATCATGCTTGATATTGCGATACAAATCAGTCCCATTCTGTGTGTGTGTGTGTGTGTGTGTGTGTGTGTGGTGTGGGGGCTGGGGGTTAAGCGGGAACCCCTTAGAGCTGAGCTGGCTCCAGGATGACGTACTTGGAAAAGGAATGATGGAATCGATTCAATCCAGTGAAGCGTTCTTGATAGTGTGGGTCTCAAGCCAGGCAGTTCTGCAGTACTCAGCAGCTAATCAGCAGGATTTGGAAGGGTAAGTCCAATCACTTCTGTACCTCTCCGCCCTTGGCAGCCTTTAACCACTCTGCCCTCACTCTCTGGAACAGTATCCCAAGTCTCTTCACCTTGTCCATCAATCTCTGCCTTCAAAACCCACCTGAAGACCTATCTTTTTGATTGTGCTTTCTCTAAAAGCTCAGGCTATAGTTATGCGAAGACATTTTGAGACATTCTTCCAACTTGAAAGGGGCTGTATAAATGTAACTTTTTGTTGTACTGCCCAGCCGACTGAGACAAGAGTTATCCATATTGGGATATCGCTCAATCCAGGTGGTTACTGTGTCTTGCCAGATCCATGGTGCATTGAGATAAAAGCACTGCCGCACACAAGGAACAGTGCATGTTTTTGACAGCTAAATTGAGGCCCTGAATTATGGCCCATTAAAAGGCCAAGGAAGCTGTGATCATCTACACTAAAAGAGGGAAGACTTCAAGGAAGATCTTATTAAAATATTTATCATATCAATCTGAGTAACTATGTTTAAAATTGTGAAAAAATCTACAACAACGGGACACAAACCCAATTTCAGTTGTAGGGCCTGATCATATCCTGGACTGTGAACTCAAGACCTGACTCTTGAACCCAGAACCTTAAGACTCAGAGATAAGACCACTTTAAGAGATTTTAAGAGTGAATATGGGACTCCCACAGTAAATTGTGAAATTGTGAAATGGTAAATTGGCTTACTTGCTTATGACATTTGATCTGTATGTAAATATTGCTGTTTTATATGCTCAAAGAAAGTTCCTCTTGAAAGAAAAAAAAGAATGATCTAAAGTAGTCACGAATTAGCTAGGCAAAAGAACCAAAACCCACAAAGAGGTTCAAAAGGTACTTAAATGTTTTGACAAAATGAATAGAAATACAGTTTTACTGTGTCAATTTAAAATCAAGGTGCATCACTTAGGAAAATTAGTCATGGCAAACAACATCAGGCTATTTGATGCATTATAATCTCATTCATGTGTGGTAAAAGAGCAGGATAACCTCCAAAAGTGTACTCATGCTTCCATGGTCTTACTAATCTTTGTGTTTGATATATCATCTTTCACATCAGGAAGCTTCACATATTGAAGCACTTCACAGGATGTATTTTGTAGGCTAATTTGAATTATCGGTTGTATAACTGGAAAGTGTCTTCTTACACTGCCTTTGGTATCAAAGTTAATTCAATCAGTAACCATAATGATAAAATAATCCTTACATTTGATATGGCACCTTTCACGTCAGGAAGATGTCTCAAAGCATTTGATAGGATGCACTGCAAAGTGTAGTGACTATATATTTTGTCCAATTTGTGCAATGTCCAATTTGCGCACAGCAATGTCTCACAAACAGCCATGACCAATTTTATTTAGGGGATTATTGGCATCTGAAGAAATTCCCTTTCTATTTTGAAAAGTACTATGGGACGGATCTTTTAACATCCATTGAAAGAAGCACATGGCACCTCAGTCTAACATCTCACCCGAAGGGCAGTTCCTCCAGCAATGCAGCACACCTCAGGAGTACATTGGAATATCAGTCCAGATTATGAGTTCAAAGTGCTGACATGGGGCTTGATTGAACCCTCAATCTTCTGACTCAATGGTGAGAGTACGATCAACTGAGCCAGACTGAGACAACAGTGCATCTGAAAATGCAATTTTGATTTGCAAGCAATTATTCTGTTTGCTTTGTTTATTGCTGCCTCTGACTGTTTTGATGTGGTGAGCAATAAGTCAACTAACACCCCTAGCGAGACCTCTTCAGCATCCTTCTTGACAATTTATATCCCATCCAATGGGATACAGGTGTTTCCTATTCTGATTTCCTATATCTAGTACTGACATTTATTTGCATAGAACGACATTGTCAGTCATCTGCCCAAATGCAAACCTAATCAAGCTCTCTTCGAAAGAATATTGTTGCCTCTTCTGAATTAATTTCTCTCAGTTTAGTATTAACTGTAAATTAAAGTACATTCAAATTTGATGAATTAGGAAGAGTGTAGCTGGAGTTTGTTTTATTGCCCTGTGATCTCTTTTTGGACAGCACTGATGGAGAACAATTTGCAATGACATCTCAATGTGCATTAGATTAGATTAACAGTAAACAAAATATGTAGATAGGAGAACAGGACATTGTGCGCACTGTGGCTCATCAAATCTCCACCGCACAGCGTCTAATTATACTGATGAACCAGAACTGGTGACTGATACCACTTCATTGCACAATGGTTTGAAACTCCCCCACAGCCCTCTGACAGATTAACCCTCTCCCCCCACAGCCCTCTGACAGATTAACCCTCTCCCCCCACAGCCCCTCGCCCCCCCCCCCCCCCCCCCCCCCCCCCCCCCCCCCCCCCCCCCCCCCCCCCCCCCCCCCCCCCCCCCCCCCCCCCCCCCCCCCCCCCCCCCCCCCCCCCCCCCCCCCCCCCCCCCCCCCCCCCCCCCCCCCCCCCCCCCCCCCCCCCCCCCCCCCCCCCCCCCCCCCCCCCCCCCCCCCCCCCCCCCCCCCCCCCCCCCCCCCCCCCCCCCCCCCCCCCCCCCCCCCCCCCCCCCCCCACAGCCCTCTGACAGATTAACCCTCTCCCCCCACAGCCCTCTGACAGATTAACCCTCTCCCCCCACAGCCCTCTGACAGATTAACCCTCTCCCCCCACAGCCCTCTGACAGATTAACCCTCTCCCCCCACAGCCCTCTGACAGATTAACCCTCTCCCCCCACAGCCCTCTGACAGATTAACCCTCTCCCCCCACAGCCCTCTGACAGATTAACCCTCTCCCCCCCACAGCCCTCTGACAGATTAACCCTCTCCCCCCACAGCCCTCTGACAGATTAACCCTCTCCCCCCACAGCCCTCTGACAGATTAACCCTCTCCCCCCACAGCCCTCTGACAGATTAACCCTCTCCCCCCACAGCTCTCTGACAGATTAACCCTCTGCCCCCCACAGCCCTTTGACAGTGTAACCCCATCCCCCCCAGAGCCCTGACAGTTTAACCCTCTCCCGCCCAGAGCCCTGACAGTGTAACCCCTCCCCCAGAGCACTGTCAGTTTAACCCTCTCCCCCCCACAGCCCTGACAGTGTAACCCCTCCCCCAGAGCCCTGTCAGTGTACCCCTCTCCCCCAGAGCCCTGTCAGTGTACCCCTCTCCCCCAGAGCCCTGTCAGTGTACCCCTCTCCCCCAGAGCCCTGTCAGTGTACCCCCTGCCCCTGTGGGTGTGTCCCGGGTGAGCCGGGTGAGGCCCGGGTGCAGGCCGCGGGCGGGCCGGGCGGGCCGGGGTGCAGGCCGGGCGGGCGGGGGGCCGGGGTGCAGGCCGGCGGCGGGCCGGGGTGAGGCCCGGGGTGCAGGCCGGGCCGGGGTGCAGGCCGGGGGCGGGGCGGGCGGGGCCGGGGTGCAGGCCGGGGGGGCCGGGCGGGGTCTGGCCGCGGTGACTGACCAGGGTGAGCGGGGCTCTGGTGACCAGCAGCTTCCTCCTGGCGGTGACGGCTCTGACGGTGGCTCTGACGATGGAGCCGGACATCTTCCGCGGCCCCACAGGGCCGTGAGGGGAGGAGGAGGGGAGAGAGAGAGAGAGAGAAAGAGAAAGGAAAGAATAAGAGAGAAAGTTCTGGAGAGAGAGAGAGAGAGGAAAGGAGAGAGAGAGAGAGAGAGAGAGAGCAGCCCGGGGGGGGGGCGGGGACTCGCGGCAGCACTGCGCGCGCTGATTGGTGCAACCTGATAATGACGGCTGTAGCAGCCAATCAGCAAATGCGATTCCCCGCCCCGGTCACCAGCAACGTCAGAAGGCGACCTGAGGCCCCTCCCCCTCCCCGCCCCTCCCCCCACAGCCATCACTGACCGCCCTGACCACACCGGGAGGGCTTCAGTTTTAATTTGAGTTTATTGCTTCAAGTCGTGTTGCAAAAAATCTTCAGTTTATGTAAAGGATTAAAATCTAATATTCTACAGTTTCTTTATCTCCTCAGTGCACACTGAGCAAAGAGTGGCATCAACATGTTACTGGGTTGGAACCATACACGTCCTGAATTAAACTGTAGAAGTCAGCATTGCAAGTTATAAAAGTTGTGATACCAACCACTATAATTCTTTTAAGTACTTAATACTTTTAAGTACCATCATTTCTGGCTGTGTAACTGCTACAGAACGCATTTCATTTACTTAAAAAGAATGAATTAACAAAAATATCCATTAAACACTATCTGAGCTCTCAAAGGAATACTTTTAATTTGGTATTCACAATGCAAAATCTATCAATTATGTATACTGCTATCAGTCTTCTATAAGCTTTGTAATCCTGTAGTTGATTCGTATAATTTAGTCACCTTGAAACTGAATTGGTTTTAAGTATTTAGATCAGTACACTAAACTCACTTAAATTATATGCGAGTTTCTATTTTCAATATAACATTTTACACATTTGAATCTATACCTGGCTTGCTGCACATAATTACTGCCTTTATTATGTTTTCTTTGGAGGAACACATGCCTTGGTTCCAAAGATCAGTTTATTTCTACAAATCATTTTAGTTTCAGATTGGTCAAACGTATCTTTTTTGAACTGACCTTTATAGAATGGAAGGAATATGTATAGATTGGAAAGAAGGAACTCATGTGGTTCTGTCACCCAAATACACTTTCTGCTGATATGGGGATGTACCCTTTGCCATGGCTACTTGCTAATCAGTATTGCCTTGCAGATTTAACCATTTGCAAGCATGTTTTTTTTCTTTCCAACCCATTTGCCCGTGGCTTTCACATTCATACAAATACGTAGTTTGATTGAACTACAAGTAAGACAATTCAAAACCATTGGTCTGTAGACTAATACAATACTGTATATAATTAATGTTAGACATACTAAATCTAAGTCTCTCCACTTGACTGTAAAAGAAACTTCTGCTTGGGTTCCAAAAAGCAGCCTTTCAAATTTAGCACAAAAAAATCAACAGAACACAAAAGATCATCCATTTTCATATAAGGTTTCCTTTTTCTAAGAATTTTTATTTGTGTTGCCACAAGACTTTACATACAGTAGTTAAGATTTTGAATGTACATTTACCACATATGTACAAACAAGAGGTACCTATCCACATCTCAAATCTTGCTTTTTATACAAGCATCAGTGTTTTAAACACTTCAGCAACTTAAGCAGCAAATCCTCAAAAAACACACATTTATTCAAAAGCAACTTATCACAGTCATAGTATTAAACAAATTCAAGATTTCCATTTCCAGATGCACATATAACCTTATATAACATTTTCCCTCCAAAATCAAATCATAAAAATACCACTGGGACGTAATTTGAACCACAACTATTCATATAAGTTTTTAAAAAGGGTTGTTTACATTTTGGCTTCAATTTCAATGGTTCAAATTAAACCAATTGACAGTCCAAAGATTAGAATGTAAATAAATAACATTTACCCACTGCCAACTATTTGCTAAATCAGCAACTCCCAAAAAGACTTGTTATTATAACAACAACTTGCATTTATATAGCGGCCTTCACATGGGACAGTGTCTCGTGGTGCTTAACAGTGGACTATAAACAGTGGATTATAAACAATGATACATCAAGTTATACTCCTATTCTCCTATCTATAGTAATTAAATACATCCAAGATCACAAATCTGATGACATATTTGTGAATTTATTTTAGTGACAAGTTTATGTACATTTTGGGGGAGGAGGGGAGAACTAAATTTGAATGTTATTCTGAAAATTGGGGTAACATTTCTGAACTTTGATGTTACTTTAACAATTTTCAATTAAATTACTATTAGCACTCATGTATTGAATGTGCACAAGAAATAATTCCAGAATTGATGAGCTGGGTTTGCAATTTACTTTACGGAAGAAAAATAAACTTCTGTAATAGTTGGCTTACTGGTCAAAAGAAGATTAAAACAGTGCTTGAAATTTTCAATTTCTGATGCTTGATATTACAACATGAAATACATTTTAAACAAGGCCTGTGGTCTAATTTAAAAACATTCCTCATTTTAAAAAAAAGAACAGGCCACCACATTGTGGCAACATTTTAAAACACAAAACATAAAAAAAAACACTCTTTGTTCCACCAAGACAAGCATAAATCATTTACTCTCTTTTCAATTGTGGTAGAATTAGAGGATTTACACAAAACTTATAGATTTATAATCATCAACCAAATGGAAACGCACTGCATTTTCTTTTTGGCTTTCTTTCTTCAAATTTCATTCTGGTTGGGCTCTTTTATGTGAAGATTTTCCCTGAGCGGAAGAGTTTGTTGAGAATTTATTGCTAAGGCCTGCTAACACACAAAGATTAAGCAAATACAATTTAAAACATCAAAATAAAATGTACTATAACATGAAAAGAAAATGTTTATTAAACTCTTTTCTCTATAATGCATGATTTAAAAGTATTATGTTAGCTAGTGTTAGTATGGTCCTTCTCAATCTTTTAAAGTAGTTCAAATTCCACATACAAAGAAATGTTAATCATAAGTATAAATACATAAATAAATGCAGCCTGATTATTGACAGCATGATGACATAAGTCATCATGGTCTAACTGGTGGCTGATGGGCCACATCCGGCCCGGCAGGTGATTTTAGCCGGCCCGAGACCATTTCCAACATTAGCTCCCTCCCTAATGAACGTTCTACCAGGGCAGCGGCAGGAGTCGGTGGTTGGGAGGATGCAGTGCAGAGAGTGGAAATACTGCCGTCTGTTACTGCAGTCTGTCAGGAAGGCAAGTACGTCTCTTACTAACCGCGTCCTTAGCACCCGCCGGCTGATTGAGAGAGAGAGGGATTGGGGAGTGAGAGAGGGTGTGAGAGAGTGATTGACAGAGAGGGGGAGAAAGAGAAAATGATTGAGAGGAGAGCAGGGAGAGATTGAGAGGGGGGAAGAGAGTGTGTGAAAAGGGGAGATTGAGAGTGGGTGATTAACATAGAGGGGGAGAGAGAGTGATTGAGAGAAAGAATGTGAGTGGGGGGGGGGGAGAGAAAGAAAGAGAGAGGGCAGAGATAGAAGTGTGAGGGGAGAGAGAATAGAGAAGAATGTGTGCGAGAGAGAAGGGGAGTGAGAAACAGTAATTGGAAGAGATGGCAGAGCGAGAGCAAGAGGGGGAGAGAGAGAGAAACAGAGAGTGAGAGAGAGAAAGGAGAATTGAGGGCAATGTTTTGTGGGTCACTGTCAAGGAGTCATCCTCAGCCATCATGGGGGCAACTGAGGACGACACCTAGTGATGTGCCGTGCAGTTTCTTCACAGAAAGCTCCCTCTTTCCCCAGCGAGGAACTTCTCTATGTCCTTCATTCCACCTCCCTCCCCTACCGACCTCTGTGACCTCCTGACACAGCCTTTCCCTTGGCAGAGCAAACACCAGTTTGCTTCATGTTCCCCCACCCCATCTGCCCCAACATCTCCATTTTGCCGCCACTCTCTGGAGTTCCATTCCCCTCTTTCAAGGGACATTAAAATCTAACGCTTTGACCACGCTTTTGGTCATCTTTTCCCCTCCCCATCCCACCTCTCTCAGCTCCCATCCCCATCTAAGGTGCCCAGCCGAGTTTGTTGAGCACTCTGAGATGTCCTTACAACATAAAAAAAAGTGCTGTGTAAATGTTATGTTTCTGGAAGGGAAACACAAAATATTGCTTAAACGTCCTGGGGACCTTTCTCAAATAGGGAATCTAGCCCTCGGCAGCCAAAAGGTTGGACCAGCCTGACTTAGTGACAAGTTAAACCAGGGTTGAGTTATCAGGAGTTTAATGTATTAGTATTAATGAAATTTCCAAACCTGGCTGAGAATTTAAGAATCCTTTTTGTTTTTGTTTCCTCTTCTCTTTCTGTAAGATTTAAGTCCAAAATAAAATTAAAATTTATATGCGGCAAAAAGTATGTTCACATTTGGTTTCTGTCCCAATGTTCTTTTTTTNCTCTTACCATGTGAATTTTATTTTCATTTCCTATGACATTTGATACTGAAGAGGGCACAGTCATTCTTACTGATGAAGCATTCTCAGCACCCGATCCACCTGTAGTAGTGCAGAATAGATAATCCACCAGGAAAATGAAAGACAAAAAGCAACGTAATTCCTTAACACAGTTATACCTTACACTCAACACAGATAAAAGCCTTAACCATGCATTCGTGGCACCTCCTGCCTTGATTTTTCCAATACTCTCCTCTCCAGCCTCACCATTCATAAAATCCAATTCATTTAAAACTCTGCCTCCTTACTCTCACCTGTACCAAACACCACACCTCCTATTATCCCAGTCCTTGCCAATCTCCATTGGCTCCCTGTTGAAAAATGGATCGATTTCTACATCCTCACAAAGCACTTTATGCAGTGGTACCTCCCTACCTTTCTGAACTGCTTATACCCCATTTATCTACCCGCTGCCTTCATTCAATGCCTCAACACCTTGCCCACCCCTTGCCAGCCTTCAGATCGCAACAGTCACCTCCCCTCTCTCCCTGGCTTGGCGTCAAGTTATGCCACTGTCAAGAACTGTGAGACGCTACTCCACAGGAAGGACGGTAAACAAATGCAAGTTGTTCTTGTAATTACTCAAGGAAAACCTTTGTTTCTAGCTTTCCTCACTCGTAAAATAAAAAAATACGAAGTTGGAATTATCTTTCAGTACCTTTGTATTGAGGACATTCTTTTTTGATGTGGCCTTCTTTCCCACAGGTAAAGCAACGCTTATCCTGCTCCTGCTTTCTCCTTTGTTCTGCATATTGCCTGGGAGTTCGATCTCTCAGAATTTCATTTGTTACCTTCTCTTCTTTTGTTTTCCGTGGGGTACGAGCCTCTCCATACAACTCTCCCTCTATTTTTGGAACATCTTTCAAGCTTTCCCTGTACATCTTCTGGACATCCTTGTTTTGAGGTTCTTTTTCTTCATGTTTTCTTTTAGGTTTGGATTCAATAGGTTTTTGAAACTGGTCATTCAAACCCATTTTGGTTCTAACGTCCTCACGATTTTCTCTTCTTCTGGTCTTGCTGTGAATGCATCGTTTTAAGAAAGAAAAACACTTTTAGGAAACAACTGCTCACAATTCAGAGTTGAAATCACTACTTATGCTGGGATACCAAATACTTTACTGAGTATATAATTTTGGATAACACAAAACAAAAATGAGAAATTTTTGTAAAAATCTGACCACAAGGATAGATTTTTTTTTACACCAAAAATACAGTAATTTTAAAAAGGATTCTGTGAATTAAGGCACGTCATATTTTTGTTTCCATTTCAAAAAATATTATTTTTTATTTAGAAAAACTGGTCACATTTTGAAAGCTGTAAAATACATATCGCTAATAAGAAAGGGAAACAATAACTGAAATAATTTATTTTACAATCTACTGCAGTCAAAAGTGTGATGCTTTTTTTTAATATAACCATAAATAACTCATATATGCACTTGGTGTTTTGATCCACACCATATAATCATGCCCTAGGCATGTTCTTTTTTTCTCAACCATTTATAATTTATAAACCAAAAATATACTTTAACAGAAGTGAAATAGTTCTATGATTAAACTTAAAAGTAGTTACGTTTGGGGATTTTTCTCCGTCCCAAAGCGCTTCACAGAATATACCGTAAAATTAATTGACTATATTTTGTGGGTAAATTGTGGCACCCAATTGCACACAGTAGTCTCACGAGCAGTCATGGACCGAATGACCAAATTATTATTAATTTTTTGAACAGATCTGCCAATCAACTGGTCTGCTCTTCCAAGTCCTGCCGACAAACCAGTCTGGCTGGGCTGTCATCAGCAGTGCTCTTGAGTACTGCAGAGCTGCATTTCTCAGGAACTACCCCACCCCCACCAGCAGAATAAAGGGAAAGGTTAGAACAACCTTTTTAGTTATTATATCATGAAACGTGCTTTGCTACAAATGGCTGAGATCATAACATTTGAAAAGAAATTGGATAAACATTTGAAGGGGAAGAATGTAAAAAGGTATAGGGAATTGGGATTGGGGTAGATAGATAGCTTCAGTGGATGAGGTAGCATGAGTTTAGATTTGACAGATCAAACAGATTCTCTTTTTTTAAGCAGCTGGTGTCTGATACACGCAGAAACTCATCACCATGCACAACTGTCTCCAAACTAAACTACAGAACATTCCCTATATATTATATATATCCATTTGTCTGGAATGGCATGTACACGATCTTATCCCCCAAAAGGAAGCACCCTATTTGCTCAGACCTGGAGAATTTAGGTGCAGCTTTGCGAAAGTGTGCGTACCCCAGAATGTACATTGTGGTACTGCTGGATTAAATCAGCTAAAATCATGCATTTTACCATTGCAAACACTAGCAAGCTTCTTGCTGCTTGTCTTGCTAGGACCACCCTACCCAAAGGGCTTTGAATATACAACAGGTTGCTACAAGCTTAACCTACATTCTGTATCATTGAGCAGGCATGTCATGTCTCAGCGAATGCAGAAGATATAATGTTGGTGGCCACACGAGATAACATTATATCTTCTGCAAACCAAACAGCAGCACCCTCCTACACTGTCATTTTATCAGTCTATGAATCCACCTCAACTCTAGAAAAGCAAATCCCTGCATTCTCCCCTTTTTTTTCATTTTCTAACTAAATGAATACAATAAAGAAGATTTTGTAACAATTTATATACTTTTGAGTATGGTTAGCTGATTTGTTTGAGAATTAATCCCGTTGAAAGGAAAGTAGTAGAATGTATTGCCATTTAAGCAGAAAAAGATATATTTTGACAGAACTCAAGCCTCTTCTATCCAACTCACCATCTTCTCATGGGACAATCTTTCATGAAATGTCCAATTTTCCCACAAATTCTACAACATCTGTCATTTGGAGCTACCTCTCCTTCAGTCAGAATCTCAGGATCAAAGAAATACTCCTTTAATTTAAAAAAACACATTTGACGAATTATAAAATAATTCAAGTAAGTTATGCACAACAATAATTTATATTTCCTGCTACAAAATCACTTTCACCAGGGCCCAAGGTGAGCCAAGTGCATTTGCAACTAAATATATGCCCAGAGCTCTGGTTAGGATTTGAATGTTATTAGAAACTGGCCAGGAAATCCAAGACAAAGATTTTTGAAATTGATTGAAATACAAACCTGATTTTAAAAGGCAATTTGAACCTTCTGGAGGAAATTTTGGAATCAAATCAATGCAATTTAAGCTTTTTTTGTTTTGATGTCGAATCTATAGAACCTATGTGGCATAAAACTGTAGTAGAGCTTAATATTCACGATAATTGTGACTGGTTCAGGTGTGGATATGAAAACAGCGTAGGCATCAGGTCACCACACAAAATATAATGAACAATACAACTAAAAATGTCTTCCAAAACTTTATGCTATTACCAGAGTATGGCAATCCCAACCTTTCTCTCTATAAATATTGATTGCATAACACAATTTGAAAGCAAATTTCACTGGAACTCTGATAAATATAGTGAATGTGAATAAATTCCAACTCTGCTCTTAAAATTCATAGGCAGAACTCTCAAGCATCAATTTTAAAATGTTTCCAACTTAATTAAAACATGCAATTTTGAAGATCTGCACGTGTTTCTAATAGTATAAATCAGGCTTCTCCATCATCTCAAGACATAATGCCTAACTTCCAACATTGGAAACAGGACATGAAAATATTTCATAAAAATATAGCATTTTAAAAACAAATCATATGATGGAAACATACAACATAAAGAGTGCAACATACCAAAAATGCAGGATATTCCTTTGGGATCCATCTGACTGGAGTTCCAAAAATTTTTCTTCCATTGATTAAAGCTTTCATGATAAAATTTGTCACTGAAGGAAACAGGCAAATCATTTAAATCAGAATCAAGTCATCCATCTGTGGTGGTCTTAGCAGTCAGGTTCCTGAGACAGGCAGGTCTGCAGTAATCCCAGGTACTGCTGATGACAGACCAGCCAACCTGGTTCTTTGGCAGGATTTAGGAGGAGTAGGGAATTCTTCCCATTTGGCTCCTGTTAATCCTGCAAAACCTTAATGGGAGTGGTCCAGGATGCTTGCCAGACAGTACCCTCAATGACAAGCTATCCGGATTTAGCTGGTCAAATTCCAGCAATACCCCTCTGAAGTCCCCAAGCCTTGGTTCTCACCAGCCAGCACCTAATATTATCCAGAATTAAGTAAACTTGGGATGTGTACCTCCAGGGAGAGAGAGTGTATTATATGCCAGACACAGGGATATTTCAATGTGTAGGTGGCACATATATATATATATATGGATTTCTTGTTTGGCTACTCTTAAACTTGGTGATGGGTATATACTCTGCTGACCAAAAAACGAATTACTGCAACCAAACATTTAATGTGAATCAAAACAAAATGGAACTTACTTTTTCGGGACAATCCAGCTCCAAGATTATGGTTCAGGTCAAATGGATCTATTTTAAACAAAATATGTTATATTTTTAGCTAAACAATAGCTACTCATATCTAATATGAGGCAGATTTAAAATAAATTAAAGATTCCACACTTCCAGTTTATTTTATTCAACATAGCTGAACCTTATTTTACAGATTTGTATAAAAGACAACTTTTTTTTAAAAAAAAACCTCAGTTGAAAGAGTAAAACTTAGTGGGGACTACACATGGACTTTATTTTTGTGCATCTTTTAAAAAACGTTTGGGGAAGAACGATGGTTTGGCTGATTAGTTCACAGATGGAATATTGGATCACTCCCTCCCACCTCCCAACTTACCCTCTATTACAATGTATTTAGACGTCCACTGCTTCTTGAAGGTTGTGAGCAGATTCTTTCGCCTAATGCTGATAACATGTTCTTTAAAATCAAACTCCTCAGTATAGAACCTGAGAAGTCCCAACCATAATTCCCCTACAGATTCTTCGTTCTTGCCATAGTCTGGCCACCTGTTTTTCTATAATCAGAAGAATTTCAAAAGGAGTGCTTTAAGGGTTAGTTATGGAATGCTTCCTCTTAACATGCAATTCCTAACTTGAAAATGTTGATATAGAATGAATCGAAGTGATCTGCAAATTAACTTTTCATCTTGGAATTTAAAGTAACAACACATTACATTTGTAAGGCACCTTTCAAGTTGGGAGGGTGTCCCAAGTTGTGGGACGGTCAGGGATTTGAACCCGAGCGGGGTGGGGGTGGGGAATCAGAAGGGGTGGAGTGCAGGAGGATGGACAAAGGTACGGTCAAAGAGGAGGGTCTTGAGACATGCCTTGAAGGAGGCAAGGGAGCGAATAAAGTAAATGGTAAATGTTGATGTTAATTTACCAATTCATCAAGTTTATCAAAGTAATAAACATTCCAGCCATCGACAAATACTGACTTTTTTNCTCCATCGAATATCTGAAAAGCATTGAAATAAAATATGTAACAAAATAATAAAATTATAATCTGTAACTGTTTAAGAACTGTATATCTGCAGTATATTGAGTTTAACTAGGTTTTTAATCTGATTTAAGAAAATATAAATCATGAAGTATGTTGATGTTTGTATATTTAACACCGTATTCTAGTTAACGAAAATATTTACTTTTTTTTAAAAAAAATCGAGTAATCCTGTAGTTGAGATTTGTTTACATTTTCCTATAAATATCAACCTATTTTTCCCATATGAGAAAATAATAAAAGCTTTCTCTTGGGATCCTTGTTTTTTTTGTTAAATCTTACCTCTTGAAGGACAGGAATAACTGGTGGCTTCCTCTGCTGCAAGAAGTAAAGTGCCATTAGAGTATATGCATATGATGAAAGACTGCCCCTGGATGCATCTCCAATATCGCATATCTGTTTAAAATGAAATACAAATTTCTAGTGACTGAAGTACAAATTTCTAGTGCCTGAAACAAAAATAAGTTTTATCCAGCATTTTGGATCACCAAAACTACCCTGTGAAAAATCAAACTATCAATATAAACCACAGGATTAGCGAATACTTTTAAAAATCCATTTTGATAAACAAATACAGAAGACTCAGCAAACACATACCTTTGCAAAAATTTTCATAGTATATCCTAAATATTTCACTCTGGGATCAATAGCTGCATAAGAGGCCAAAAGTCCAGTATTATGCAATGCCTGCAATAAGAAAATGTACTTGTAAATCTGTTGAATCATGTATATTGTAAATATATTGAATCAAGTTTACTGTAATTAAATATACATTTTAATTAGAAAATAACATCAAAGCAATTGTCCAAATAGGATCAGAAGTCACCGGGAACACTCAGCAGGTCAGGCAGCATCTATGGAGAAAGGAAAGTGAGTCAACGTTTTGGGTCCATGACCCTTCGTCAGAACTGGGTATGTTGGGAGGGAGAGGCTTTTAAGGACTATCAGAGATGGGGGAGGCAGGGCAAGGAAGACAAAAGGGAAAATGGGGTAGAGAACAGGGGATGATAGGTTAAAGAAGACCTCTTTCCCCGTTTTGTTGCAATCCCCCACTTTGTTTAGCATCATTAACACCTCTTTAACCCATCATCCTCTGTTCTCTACCCCATTTTCTCCTTTGTCTTCCTTGCCCTGCTTCCCCCTTCTCTGTTAGTCCTTTAAAGCCTCTCCTTTCCAACATGCCGCAGGTCTGACAAAGGGTCATGGACCCAAAACGTTGACTCACTTTCCTCTCTCCATAGATGCTGCCTGACCTGCTGAGTGTTTCCAGCGACTTCTGCTTTTGTTTCAGATTTCCAGTATCTGCAGTAGTTTGTGTTTTGTCCAAATTGGGTGGATGCCCTACTAAGTTATGCATAATGGCGAAATGATTTCAAACCAACACCCCTAAAATCCAAGCACACTTCATTGTTTCGGTAGACAGGTTGCATTTCAGATAGAAAACACAAAGTGAACATTTTAAACCCAATTATTTCTAAAATATTCGATTACTTAGTATTTATTAATTATGACATTATTATATAATTATAAAACATCTAGTTAAAGTGAACTGCTTCAGTTTTCTTACCAGAGTGTTATACAAACTAATGTCTCCCTCAAGTCCACTCCTTACATGAAAAAACTTAACGATTGGCACTTTTGCTGTTGTAATGGGCAGAATGCTTCTTAGGCCTAGAATTACATTTGAAAAGCAGTAGGTTATTCTCTCAAGACAGTACCATGCGTTTCCAAAACTCCATTCTCCTTTGCATTCCCATAATGGAATATTTAAAAGTTAAATAAAACCTGTAATTCTTTGAGAAAGCATTTCAAGTATAGGAAGATCCCATTATAACATGCCCTGGTATAGCAGGGATGCATTAATATAGTTTCACTGTATGCAGAAAGTGATGTCAGCTGTGAATTCACGATCCGGAAATGCTGACTGTTGACTGTTTTTATGCTATGCCTAGTTGTGGACCTAAAGCACTGTTATAAAGGGGCCCAGCTGTAGTATGCACAAGCTGTCACGAAAGGACTGTTTGTCAATATACAATGCAATAATGCAGGGTTTGTATGAGCTAGATTATACCACAATTAGGTATAAGTCAGTTGCACGGTGAACCCCATTCACTGTGCATACGTACAGCAAGGCCATTTATTTGGTACAGCAAATGTACCTGGATGCTTCCTGAGCACTCTTGCCAAATCCTCAATAATCCTGATGCAGTTCAATCCCTGGAAGACATTAAATAAAAGTTTGCATTCTGCTTTTTTTAACACTATAAAGAAACAATACTCAATATGTGCAATATAATCTATATCCTACCACCCTATTACAGTAGTCATTTTGCCATTTTTTTCAATGGTCTCTATAAATTTCAGACTACGGCGTGAAGGCCTGGATAAGTGAACAGTTGTAATTAATCTCTTTTGAAGATTTTGTGGTCATATTAATCATATTTTTACAAAAAAGCAGTAAGTTGTGATAAATCATTATATTGTCACATCTTATTTCTCTAATCTTTCTGAGATATAATGGAACAAATCGGTATACTATAAAAGGGTAAAACTTACCATTCATAATAAGGAGAAGACACCTGACAGATATTTTCAGTGTAGAAATTTAACAAAAGCTTAGTTCTCATACATTGAGAAAATCAAGCATAATTTACAAGTCAACTGAACAATTAAATTAACTTCCAGTCATCTAATGTTTCCTACATACTGTGCATTATATGGCTTTTAATTTAATTTTGTTGACTTTTTGCTTGTGACTGCTATCAGTCAGTGTTTTCCATATCCTTCCTGATATTCAGGAAAGCACAAAACTGACAAATTAGTGGAAATTTATTGAGAAATAATGCACAGGATATTACTAATCAAATTTGTGTTTATAATGCTCTACGTATTCCTTCCCCCACAAAGCTACTGTAGGAACAGAACATGTCCAATAGCTATTATCTGCGAATATAGTGGAAAATAATGCAAACTTTGTGTGACTTTTCAGAGTACAGCTTGATCAAAGGAATTTCTGAAAACCATATATTCTTCATACCTCTGCTGTTTCACGACCTTCAAATGTCATACAGATATCAAGGTCACTTTGTTTGAAACCAAACCCATTCTTGGAAGACCCAAACAAGCAGAGATTTGCTGTAGCTGTAAAACATGAAGATGAAGCTATATTCCAGCACATCAGAATCAGAGTTTAGGGAGTTGTAATCCCATTTGCCTACACTCAGATATCTAAATAAAATCAAAATGGAAGTTATTTATAAAAGCAAATGGATTCTTTGAGGGATATTACGTGTACTTTTCCATTTTAAATACAGTACAAGAATTGACACTTAGTACTGATGAATTACAACTTCAAGTCATATTAAAGCATTTCAGTATACTAAATTGTAAATAAACCAAAATCTGAATATTTTAATACATTAGATACCAAAAAACGTTTTAAAATTCTTATATCAATTGAGGCATGTAATTATTGAGAACAATATTTTAGAATAAAATGAAAAATCATTCTTTCTGAAACATACTGCTGTGAAGCTAAAGTGTTTTTTTTTAAAAAAATATATAGAATAAAAACAATTCTATTTGTATTTCACTAGAATTCACGGTGGTTCTCTTGGAATTGTTAAAAATATTCTCTAGCAGTATTTAGTTTTTATAAACTAAAACAGCCAAACGTCAGTAGAAATACTGATTAAATAACCTTACACAGGATCCACTTGAATAAGGAGAACCAATGAATTTATCTTGATATTGTATAATTACAAATTGGATTATTCCACAATAGCATATTATAAGTATATGATTAAGATTTTGAATTTGTTGGCAAGTTACCATATTAAAAATTACATTCTAGAAATAGGGTTTAGTTTTTCTAAAAGTATAAGTGTTTCATGTCCATATTTCTGAACATCATTCAAAATAGGAACTTAAACTGTATAGGAACCTATCTGTAATGAAAGCAAAATACCTTTAATTAAGATTTCAAGGTCATTAATTGATAAATGTTACACAGTTCAGCAAACGATTTACTATTTACCATCAAGCTCCGTTCTGATAAAATCTTCCAGGCATAGCAAAATATGTTCACGTGCCTGAATTTCCAGACTATCTGGAGAGAAATCTTCTAGAATGGAAAGAAAGGAATATCTTAGTTTCATACAATTTATTTGATCTCTTCCCAGTAATCTTTGAGCTTGCAAGTTACTAAAAATATATTGTACAACAGACATTGTTAAACCCAATAGTTACATATTCTACTTTTGATATATTTCCTCTAATTTTCTATGTACAGTTTAATTTGCACATTCCTTGGGGTGGATTCATCACCCCGGGGTGGGCTGCAGGCAGAAACAGTGAAAGAGGGAAATTCACAAAAGTAATTTTTTTTTTTACATTGCTTTAAGGATATTCAAAATTCTTTGATAGACAAACATTTCAGATTAAGTATATGAGACCCACAAACAGGAAACTGCAGTGAAGCCCCTTGCTCATCTGAGGCAGATGCTGCATGGCTGGAAATTGCGCTCTTTCTTCAACAGCCCCTCTTTATAGAAAGTTTAAATTCCTAGAAGGAAACTACTGAAGACATTATCAGCTACTACAGCAATAATAGAAACCAAGAGCTATAGAAAGCATGTACAAATGAATTTCTTCCACTGTAAGCAATTCACGCTTAAATTTTAATTTGAACCAAAAGGAGGAAGAGCATTGTGCAGCTTGTCAGGTGGTTCCTCTTGGTATTGTGTTAGTATCTTAATGGCATAATGGTACTGCGTGCGTACATTAATAGTGGTAAATAAATTATTCAAATATTCACCCATTTCATTGAAGAAGTAATTCTCAACTTGGGGCCTCATGGCAAACAGAATTGTCAAATACTGTCAAATTAGTTGAAATCAGATAATAAAAAATAATAATATCCTTGGATTTGATAGAGCGCCTTATCATATCTTTGAGACGTCCCTAAGCGCTTCACAGGATACACTGTAACATGAATGACTGTAAAGTACGTGGGCAAAAAGATCTCCGGAAATAAACCTCAATTTGTACAATGCTTTGGTTTAACCACTGCAGGAAGTTGTGCATACGATTCTGGCTGCTGTGGTAGAAGGTTGTACAGACCCTTGAGGCAGTTCGAAGAAATACAACACAGATGATCCTCAATTTTGAGAGATGAACTATGAGAACTCCTGTCTGAATCATTGCATGTGGAAAATTACCATTTTAATTTTATATAAGCTTTGTGCGTTTATACTAATCGCAGACATATCGATGAACTGAACTTCGAAGTAGCCCAGTACAAACTTATGTTTCCTCATGCAGTGAATTCCCAAACAGAAGCTGGGGAAGGAGGGAAGGCCATATTTTTGATTATTGCAGGAGGACTGATGATTTTGTGTGCCTTTTTGAGAATAAAAACAAAGATCTTTAAATGCTGAAAGTGTATTTAAGACAAAATACTTACTGTAACAATGGAAGCAAACCTGATCCAGAAATTCCAGAAAGATGGGTGTCATTTGTGGTAATGGATCAAGGTCAACTTTTTTGAAGTCCTCTGGACAATCTTGCTTCAAATGTCCTTCTCGTTTGCACAAGTTGCAAACAATTATGGAAGCCTATTCAAGAAAGGTAGTGATGTTACTTTTTTTAAACATAATGAAATAATTACGCAGTAATGTAATGTAAATAATTACATAATTACGCAGATGCTTACTGGAGCCTAAAGTGAAACGGCCAATTTATGCAGAATATCTTTCCCACCTACAATTGAGTTTTGAGAACATATAGCTGGGCAGTTGAGGCTTACTAGCCCTCCAACCATTCAAATTAAAGCGCACTAACAAATCCATCATTCTCATTAATAGTGTGTTTAGAATAAGGCTTTGCAGTCAATCATCACAGTTTGGTTGCATTTACCATGATATGCACATCAGAAACTGAGATTGAGCCGGGCAGCTCTCAGGATGTGTCCTGTTTGCCCTTCAGCTGTATAAACTCAGCAGATGTGAATGGATTAGGGCTCCAGGGTTATACATAGGATTTGAGATAATATAGTATCTGTTATCTCTAAAACTACACAAGTATAATTCAAGCATCAAACTTATGACAAAGTAATTCATGTTAAAAACAAGGTGTAAGGAAGTCTGGGCTTGTAATTCTATCTTGTCTTAGATAGCAAGACAAATTTTCTTAAAATATAATATTGTACAGAATTGTAGAAAATTTTTAAATTCAGTTTTAAATTGGCAATCAGTCTTTTGAAGAACTGCAGAAACCCAACTTGCAAATTAAAACAAATTTAAGGATTTTCCATAATTCTGTGCAACATTGCATTTTGAATCATACAGGCTAATTTTAGGTGAAATTTTGGACATCTGACTGAGCGGAGGACACTTTGCTTTTGTTTATTCTTAGCAGAAGAAGTTCTACACCAAATCACTTAGTAATTTCATATCTTAAAATATATATAATACATACACAATATTGTGGGTTAACGTCATAACAAGTTTAATCAGCATCTGCTTTTTTTAAAAAAAGGACAATATTCTTCCAACGACAAAGGGTTTCCAAAGGGTTGTTAGAAAATGGACTCACCTTGCCCTTTGTAAAATCAATTCTGTTGAACGTATAAAACATATCGTCCTCTCCACTGGTTTGTGATTCCTGGTGAAGAGTTTCCTTATTCATTTCATCCAGTTGAAGCTCTTGTTTCTGCTTCATAGTTACTTCATTATCAACACTGTGTTTAAATAGCTGAGCAGTGGCACCATCTTGAGATTTTGCTGATGTCTGTCCCTTGCAGTTCAGTAATTCATCATGAATTACTGTACCCTCACCAGACTGATCATCTTCCTCACTGGACTCAGTACATATATTCTCAAACTCCTCGTCAGCTGTATCAAGGTGAATTCTTGAAATATTCAGATCCAATTCATCCTCTTCCTCCTCCTCATCGTCTTCCTCATCCTCTTCATTCCTGCTTACTGCTCCCACAAGCTGATGCATTGGCTTTTCAGGGGTGCAAGGTAATAAATCTACACTGTCAGAGCTTTCTCTATCTTCATCATTCAATACAATTTCTTCTTCATCTTTCCCTTCTTGTTGACTGCAGTCTTCTAAACCAAATTCATCACATTCCATATTCTGTGGATTCAGAAAACCTTCAGAATCTGATAGACTTTCAGAATAAAAGTTATCTCTAAAATAAGAATTTTTAACACGGGTACCCATCTCTTCATCACTGGAGGTTTCCTTATCGACTTCTGTAGAATGGTTACCCTTGTCTTCCTCCCAGACTCTGCTGGTAGCAGCTGAACTCTTTTTCTGCTTTCCAGGCATATCAAACCGCTCCTCATCATTTCCACTTTCCAAAACATCATCACTGCTTTGCTTATCTTCACTTTGTTCTGGATGATTTTTATCATTAGGCTCATATGAAGTAATCAAAATGTTTTCAAAATCAGAAATCAGCTCTTCCTCAGCAATTCCTTCAGATCCACAGTTTTGTATAGTTTGTTCATTTCTAAAGGAATCTACAGCATTGATTTTATCACTATCCGTATGCAATTGCAAGTACCCTCCATTGGGAGTACCTGCTGGAATAGCACCACCAGTTTTGATACTGTCCAGCTTTTTAGTACTTTCAGAATCAACTTTTGTATTGCCCTTTCTGTTGCACTTTGCTGCTTTGTTCTTGGGCAATGCAAAATACTTGTAGGTTGCTCTCAAACAATGAATGATGTAATCATACACCATCTGGCTGTTAAGGGTTCGTGCAACATTTCTTTTTACCGAGTATGGATCTGGGAGAAAAAAAAATTACAAAAATAGATGGTTAGCATTTACATTCTCCAATTCAACAAGATATTTAACACATTAATCCAAAGTACTTTATGACTGTTCTATTGGTCAATTCAAGGAGGTTTAATCCATTTAAAAGTAAGAACTCTGTAAATATTACATTCCTCAATGTGGTTTCAATCATACTATTAAATCATCCTCTTTAATCAAATAATTTTTAGTTTTCCTATGAAAAAGACATGAATTTTACATGATGAATTATTTTAATATCTTTACAATATTAATTATATATTCCATGATTGATTTGCTATTAAGTTATAGTTAGAGAATGTTTACAGCTTTCAACAAAAACAGAAGTCGCTGGGAATGCTCGGCAGGTCAGGCAGCATCTATGGAGAAAGGAAAGTAAGTCAATGTTTCGGCTCCCTGACGCTTTGTCAGAACTGTGGCATGTTGGGAGGGAGAGGCTTTTAAGGACTAACAGAGAGAGGGGAGGCAGGGCAAAGAAGACAAAGGTGAAAATGGGGTAGAGGACAGGCTATGATGGGAAACCATTAGATGCTGCCTGACCTGCTGAGTGTTTCCGGCGACTTCTGTTTTTGTTTTCAGATTTCCAACATCTGCAGTATTTTGTGTTTTGTTTATAGCTTTAAGTAAGTTACTTTTACTGAAAAATATTCACTACAATATATTAATACTCTTACAATATAATTTAAATGTTAAATTGAAATACAAAACTAATGTTATTCCAGAACTGTAGAAACAAAACACATTTCCACACTGCTTAACTATTTGCTTCATCGTGTTTTGCTCACAGTTCTGTTCAAAAAGGGGAAGAAAAACATTTTCAAAACAAATATTTCTTAAATGTTTTATTTGTATTTAGAATCACAGGAATCAACACCATCATAGGTGAATTATACACCCACTTTTATTTGTGAGAATATAAATCATGCCACAAACAATTTGATGGTAAGTGAAGTACAAAAATTAGTAAAATTGCTAATATATTCATAAATTGGTGTCTATTGTATATCGTAATTGAAGCAGAGCATTTCTTTTTAACAATATCTATTTATATAATGCCCTTAATGTGAGACAACCTTTTATACTTGAAGATAGTTTCCAGATGTACAAATAAAAAAAATCCAATGTGTCCATCAAAGCCTTTTGTGAAATGCAATGAAATTACAAATCTCGACCCCTCAAATGTTAATTAATAACCAATCGTTTAGATTCACAATTATTATTATTAATACCTTCTATTGCAATTCTTCTTTTAGGCCAGTCTTTAGCTTCCCGAGAAAGTGGTTCTCGAATTCGTATTCCGATGACATAGTCAGCCAAGGCAAATTCCAGTGCATAAAACCGAAGAAGCTCCACCCACAGTTGGCCCATAGGGGAGGAACTTTGTTCATCTTCCCTAAATGTAAGTGCTACCTAAGAAACAGAAAGGAATGTGATTAAGAAGTTGCCCAAGTCAATTACCAGATCTATAAAAAGAAAAGATTGCTGTGATGTATCTGATGCATTCCAAAACAAACATACTTTTCCTTCATTCGAAATAACATCATCTGTGCTGACAGCTTTCAGTTCCCAGATGACCTGGTTATCTTCTACACCTTTAAGACTGAAATTTGCCAGGTTATCCAGAGAAAAACCTTCAATCTTCAAAGAAAAAGTACATAAAATGTTATCAATGGAAGTACTGTATGCAAAACACCATACATAATATATTGAATCCTCACATTTTTATATGCAGCTGAATCACAGATTCAATCTGTTTCATGTAAGTTTTTGTTTCTTCACTGTCTGATTATTGGGTCTATAACAGGCTCCATTTGTCAGTTTATCCACAGCCCTTTTTCCTTCTCTCTCTATTAAGCACAGAAAATGGATTGAAAATGTGGATTGGGATGAAATATAATGGTAGAAAGTTATAGAACATGAGGGGTAAAATTCACAGTCACAACCAAGAATTGAACTAAGAAAACTAACCCAATTATACTAACTTACCTCATTAACCACCATAAAGACTATATTCATGTTGATCCTATTAGCAAGCTAAGTCTGTATTAACCTCAAGAATTTGGGAACCTCAGGCATGGTTTCACAATAACAGTTTAAACTTTACTATCAAAATGGCTTAACCATTTCCCATTTCTTAACAGCTTGAGGGTAAATTAAAGCAATTTGAGCTTGGACAGATAGAACATAGCAGAAGCACACTGATATTCCCATGATTCAAACTGAGTCGAAATCATACAGAAATTCGTGACAATCAAATTTGCTTAAGTAAAATAAGTAATTAAAATCGAGAATTCAATTAAGAGGTAACTCACCCATAATCCAAGGTAAACGGGCAGCACAGCTTCCTTTCGTTGCTGTAGAAAGTAGATTATCATCAAAGCAAAAGCATATGGTGGTAGGCCTCCTTCTTCTGGACTATCAATGTGACAAAGCTGAAAGTAAGAGTTTTGGGGGATTGAGAAGGTTGAACACTTGGAACATTCGGAACAATCTGCAACATTCGGAAACTTCCAAACGATCTGCTCTTAGATGGACCCGATTTTAGTATCTTTAATGCCAGTCTGGCTAGTATCTTTAATGTTTCCGAGAGGACAAAATTATCTAGAAGTGAGCAATACCAAGAACCATCACTCAATGGTGTTAGCACACAAAATCTTGGTATCCCTGGGGAGGCAGGGTTGTTACATAATGACTATCCAGTGACCTCTATCACACAGATAGGAAGTAGCATCAGAGAGGAGAAACAAGGAACATAAAGGAACATAGAGAACTGGGAGAGACAAATAACTTTGGAATAAATAGTTCAGAAAGAGGAGGGATCAGACAGGGAAGAAATGCAAAGCAAAGGTAGTTTTGGAGTGCATGGGCGTGACAAATAAGGTTAGCGAGCTGCAGGTCCAAGTTACCATATGGGCTTATGATGTAGTATAATAACCAAGACCTGGCTCAAACAAGGGCAGGAATGTGACCTTAACAATCCTGACTACAATGTATTCAGGAAGGATAGGGAAGGAAAAGGAGGAGGCAGGCAGTATTGATGAAAGATACTGCTACAGCCCGGTAAAGGGATAATGTGCTAGAGGGTTCAAAGACGGAATGAAATTTATTTGGTTACAGATGTGGAGCAGAAGAGAAGCTGTTATGCTACTAGGTGTATACTATAGACTTCCAAATAGTGGGAAGGAGATAAACCTAGAAACTACAGGTCAGTTAGCCTAACATCGGTGGTGGAGAAATATCTAGAGACCATGACAGCCAACATGGATTTGTTAAAGGCAAATCGTGCCTGACAAACTTAACTGAGTTCTTTGATGAAATAACAGACAGGATTGATGAAGGTAGTGCGGTTAATGAGGCGTATATGGATTTTCAGAAAGCATTTGATAAGGTGCCACATAATAGACTAGTTAGTTAAATTGAAGCCCTTAAGATAAAAGGGTGAGTGGCAGCATGGATACAAAATTGGCTGGGACACAGAAAGCAAAGGGTAGTGGTGAATGGTTGTTTTTCAGACTGGAGGGAAATATTCAGTGGTGTTGCCTGTTGTGGAGTCAGTATTAGGTCCACTGCTCTTTTTGATATATGTGAATGACTTGGACTTGGATATAGAGAGCAAAATGTTAAACTTTGCAGATGACATAGATTCAACATACACTAAATGGTACAGTTTTAAAGGGTGTTCAGGAGCAGAGAGACCTGGGGGTTCACATACACAGGTCTTTGAAGGTACCAGGACAGCTTGATAGAGCTGTTAAAAAAGCATATAGGATCCTTGGCTTTATAAGTAAAGGTTAGCAATCCTACTGTTTTAAACTTTAGGTCCTACATCATGCTATAAGTCTTTAATTTTGCTTTCCCTGGACTGATCTGGCTAGGGGGACACAGATCCCTGCATTCCTTGACCACAATATTAACTTTTAGCAATTTTACCAGAAACTTTATTGCTAAAAGTTAATTGTTTAGCTGAGAACATTGATTCAAGCTTCTAAGCTAGAATAATCCTAGAAAAACAAAATGTAATACCTTAAAATTTACAAAATAAGTTTGTTCACCTCAGGGTGAAAACAAAATGGTGGCATTCGGACACTGAGTGGAGCAAAACACTTAACTGAAAAGGCGTGCTACCTGCTGGTGTTTTAACCATAAGGTTGAATCCCACTTAGCTTGAAAAATCTTGTGTGAAAAAACCAAACATTATATAGATTGATGCACATTTCTGTTACTGTGATGAAAAGATGTGGGAAAAGTTTACCACCATCATTATGGAACACTTAGTTTGACAAAAGTGGTTAACTTATTCGGGACATGGTTTTAATTGACAGCATCCTATAAAATAACTCAAGACCAAGTTGAATGAATATGAAACTGTTCTAACAAATTAATGTACCTACTGTTCCAGGATAAAAAGATGTAATATTACAATAATAAAATATTATTATTGTAATATTACTAACATAATAATATAAACAGTATTGTAGAAGCTAACCATAGAACATTTTGACAACTGGTTACGGGAGATCTACTTGGTGAATTGATTTGAATTGAATTGGTGAAGAGAATGGATAAAAATAACAAGTAGAGCAAGTCAGAGAGGAATCAAAGAAAACTGTAAATATAACAAACAAAACGAACATGCTAGTTTGAAGGTGTAACAATGACAATGAGATACAGTAAAACTCACATATGTTGTATCATCAGGACCATAACATTTAATATAAGTTACATATAAGTCAGAGTTTCAGGCAAACTTGTACAATAATCAATAATCTACAGAGCATGTGGGTAATTCAATGCAGCCTGTAAGTGCACATGCAGTATTAACGTCACTGCCGCCGGTGAGTGTGCATACGTTGACGGGTCAAGATTACATTTCCTGCGATTCAATTGGCCTTGACCAGCAAGTATTGGAATTGCATTGAATTGCGGGAAATTAAATTCTGGCATGTGTTGATGGATCAAAACTACGTTTCTCACGATTCAATGCTGTCAGCCGGTAGGCTATCGTTTCCCGCAATTCAATGCAGCCGGTAAGTGCAGGAGTAATGGAGGATATGGGAGCAGCGTTACGAGTTAGGAGATGATTAATATGACCTAGTAGAAATAAATCTGAGCGGCTTTGATAGGAAACTAAATGGGATGGCCTGTAGAATTTAGGCGATTGTTTGATTTTTAAAGATAAGACTATATTCACCTCCAGGCTCGACTATGCAAATGTCCTGCTGGTCAGCCTTTCCAACTCCTTTCTCCACAGGCTGCAGATAATCCAGAACTCTGCAGCCCGTGTCCTCTTTCGCACCAAACTCCGTGACCCCATCTCCCCCAACTCTATTGGCTCCCTATCCTTCAGAGGATCCAGTTCAAGATCCTGGTCCTCACCTACAAAGCCCTCCATGGCCTCGCCCCAACCTATCTCTGTGACCTCCTAACACCCTACCAACCCGCCCGCTTCCTCCACTCAGCCAACTCCGGCCTGCTCCACATCCCTCAACCCACCCGCCCCACCATTGGCGGGAGAGCCTTCAGCCACTCTGCCCCCAATCTCTGGAACTCCATCCCCCAATCACTCCGCCTCACCCTCTCCTTAGCCTCCTTCAAGTCCCGCCTCAAAACCCTCCTCTTTGACCATGCCATCGTTCACCCGCCTTCCCCTTCCTTCTGCCCACCTGACCCCAGCTCGGTTCTGAAACGCTGTACACTGTCCAGCACCTTGGGACATCCTCCCGACGTGAAAGGCACTTTACAAATGTAATCTTGTTGTTATGCAAGTTTTACTGTAGTAATCATTTACAATTACTGGATATAAAGCTATCAATAAAAATTAAATTTGAATAAGAGAAGGATATATTTTAGTTAGTAAAAACCAAGATAGCAGACAAAAGAGTTTAAAATGACATTCAATGCACATTTAGAGTACCTCTTAAACCACAAAAAAAATCCAAAGGCAAAATGGATTTCTTACCTTCCCCCAATACCTAAAGGCAGTAACCAGTGGAGTAAGCCTGGGTTCCAGCTTTGCCAGGGTAGCTAAGTGGCAGGTTGTGAGCCATGCATTTTCATTGCCTGCGCTCACTTTACATAAAAGACCACTAAAAAGGAATAATAATATAAATAATACATTTATATTTATGGTATACAATTTACCATAGAATAGTCAGATCATGCACTGAAATCAAAATGTATTAGCTACACTCATTGGGTAAAACAGTGCTGGCATCAAGCAATACAAAAATCATAAATCTCTGTATATTCATTGTTATTGGCATTATATTTTAAACAATCCATAGATTCTGGGATTTTAAGTTATCAGGAGATTTGCAAAATTCATTTTTTTAAAGCAATTTAGGGCTTTAAAATCGTATGCAAGGATTATTATGACACAAAATACAATACTGAAACAAGAACAATCTCTCATCTCAAAAGCAGTAGATACTTCAAACATAATTGACTGTCATCAAGACAGACCCATTGGATGTAGGATAGAGATTTAGTTTAGTGACTACCAGCTCGTTGGTTCAAATGCAAATCATAATTTTTGTATTCCCAAATATAAGCACTGTTTTACACCAAATTATCAGGTGAAAAATCTGTGACACTACTTAATGAACCTGATGTGATAACTGTCCACCTTCCATCAAACACTCTGACTACTCTCTCCGGTTGTCAGACCAGAGATCCCCCCCATCCCATCTGTGTTGAGGTTCCTGGTCTCAGTCAAATGACTCATGTTAAATTGGCTTGGCCTTCCCAGGGTTTAGGAGGTTAAATTCAGACAAGTTTCATGCTATTAGTCCTTCTATAAGGTAGTGTGTTTGTGTGGCAGTCAGGTGGAGAGAAGTCAGGTTTAGCTGTGATGCCCTCTCCAGTGAAGTGGCCCACTGACCCCAAGGCTTACACATAAACAATCACCAATGAACAATTGCACGTTATCACGAGGAGGCTGGGGATCAGGAGCAGAATGGGGGAGAAAATTAGAAAAACAAATGGGCACATTTAAAAAAATATACATATCTTTAAAAAGGAAAAAATATCATTAGTCATTGCTAATAATCTCTGCAACAGTTCTACTGAGATTCATTCAATAAAAGATTACACTTTGAAACTTCAACAAACAATCTTATAAAAATAATAAATAATCATTGCATTTGCTATAGCCTCTATGAAAGTCACTTTCAGAAAAGGTGACAAATCTTGTCAATTGCAACATGCATTTATCAAGTTGGCTTAATTGACAATGTGATATTTCAGAAATCTTTATTTGCAGGCGTTTTTTAGATGTTTATAATCTTGGCAAATGCCTTGGGATTTGCCATTTTGCAATCTAGTATATACAAGATGTAAATCCCAATTAATCCAAATAAATCCCATTTGTGACCTGTACTTTAGACCCCATCTGTTGCTACTTATAGAATAGAGTTGCTTTAAAAATATTGCCCTGAAGAGGCAATTCATTTATTTAAAAATTCTCTTCGACCGTGCCTTCAGCTCCCCTCTCGACTCCCTACCCCTCCTCGCTCCTTCCCTTCCCTCCCCCTGACCATTTCCCCCTTGCTCGGGTCCCGACCCAACTGTCCAGTGCCTTGGAACATCCTCCCGACGTGAAAGGCGCTCTATAAATGAAATCTTGTTGTTGTTGTAATATGTCTTGGATTCTGGGTGCATTCATTGCTATCAAAATAGGAAATGACCAGCAAAATTCACTAAAAGACCCCTGGAATTTGTATTACATTATCTGTCTCATCAAATATAGAAGTTCCAATAAGACAACTGTATTATGAACCATTTATTCAGTGATTCATTCACCTTCTTTTCAATTTCTTGAATAATTCTTGCTATTGGTTCTGTTGATTGCTTTGATCTGGCAATTTCTTGTTGCCAATTACAGTCATGAACTTGAATTTGAAACAAACCAACCAACAAGTCACTCTTTTCACCAAATTGATATTGTCCTCTTCAGGAAGTATGTTACTACCGGAAACAGAAGCCTTCCCATTCCCATCGGTGGCATTCTGTGTTGCACTCCCAGATCAGATGTGGCATGGTTAGCTGTAGGATAATGCACCTTCTGTTCTGACATTGTGCTTAAGTCTCAACTTCAAAGATTATATCTTGCTGCAGTGTGACACCTTTCCCATCAGCCTTGTTTGCCCTTTTGTCTAATTTAGTGCCAAATTACAGGTATTTTTGTGCTAGAAATTCATGACCACAAGGAATAGATTTAGACTACCCAACTCTTTCAAACGAAGTTCCCTCCAGTAAACAAAGACTTTAATTCAATTTTTGGGGGTTAACTCAGGGCCTGACACTTGGAAATCCATCGCCATGCTTAAGAGTTTGAACACCACAGAACCATATGAATACGACTTACAAACAGAAATTTCCCTCTACCTGGAATGGATTGCTTACTATCTGCCAAGAGGAATGTACCCTGTTTACACGTTTTGGTAATGTATTAGGCACATACTTGAGTTTGGGTGCGTTGGAGTACTGCTGGAGTTTAAAATAAAAACACGTGGTTTACATTTGCAGCACTGTTCGGCATATTTTCCACTGTCCAGCTAGGAACACCCTAGGAGTTTGCCTTGTAGGGTTAACATGAGCAGAGTGGGACAAATTCTGCCCTGAGTGACTGGTCTGCTCTTTCGAGTCAGGCTGGCTGGTTATCGACAGTGCCATGTTCAGGAATCAAATTACTGAGATTGCCATAGAGGTTTGAATTAATTCCAATATTCTATTGCTAGGCACATTATTTCAGCCAGCTCGGCCCCAAGGAGACACAAATTATTACCCTTCAAGAAAGAGAGCAAGTCTCAGATGCTACTCTGCTAAACCAATGCACACCCCTTCCCCAATAAATTAGTAATGCAAATTGGAACCAGCAATGAGAAACGATATAAAAACATAACTTTTAATAAGAAATAGAAGATGTGTGAACCATTTATGAGAGGGTCCAGAGTAATAATAGGCTGAAGGCAATTAATGAATAGATATAGGAATAAGTAAAATGTGATTAAAAAAACATTTTTGTTTACATCTTTAAGCTTTTTTAGTATTAGATGAGTGGAAAAAAGGAATCAGTTAGGTATTTATTCTGTCATTGCTTCTGCTGTTTGGAGGCAAGAGAATCATTTACATTTTTAAAAACACACATTCTAAATACCTAAAGTGACATTGAAAGGTGTTTGACAACAGGTCAGCTTCTCAGGCTGGAAAGGTTTGCTTGTATGTATGTAACAAACTACTGCGACTTTAAAAATACAATATTAGGGAATAGTAAAGAGAAACTTCATGCTCATTCTAATGGCAAAAAAGGGCACATCTGTTTGCTTATTAGGGCTTCTCCTAGTGAGCTACTGGGGTTCTCCAGTAAGCTCAAATAGTGTTCAATGATTAGTCTTTTACAGTCACTCATTTTAGGTTACAAATTATGGTGCACGATTACTCTCAGATTAAGAAGCAAAAAGACCCGACAAACCTTTGCTTTTCCCTGCATAGTACAACAGGCACTCTGGCATGGAACTCCGCCTCAACATCAATGAAAGTAACTGTGAATAAAATTTGTGGGGAGGAGAAAAGACAATTTAAAACACTGATGTTCTTTCTGCTCATTTCTGGGAGATTCAATATCCATGAACTGACTACTAACCTCAACAATAAATTTACTCAGGAATGTGTTGACATACAACATGCAGATACTTCAAAAGCACGTTGATAGGGCCAATTACAAAACATTATATATTTGAAGCTAGAACTTTAAGCACTACTTGGTAAAACAGTTAAAAGGCATTTAATATTTGTCACTATATAAACATGGTGACTCACTTTCAGTGGGCAACAGTCTTCTAGAAAATTTTGATGAAGAACCCCTATTCTGATTTACTGGAGCACTAATGATTTAAAATCTGAGAATTAATTTTTTGTAAAATGGGTCCTGGGATAGGATTTAAGAGATTTCAGCCTAGGCTCTTCTAGTTTTGACCTATTGGAAAAGGACAAAAATATTACAAAATGTAGCTACTTTAATTTGCCAAAGGCATTAATGTCAAAACAATGCATATATATCTATATGTACACACTTGTAGTCTGTATGTTAATTTGTTATGCATGTCATTATTTAAATGTGCATCAAATTTAACAAGGTCAGCTACATTTCTGTAGTTCTCAGAGCTTGTCCCTCATTTTCTCCAAAACAAGAGCATCAAGTATGTTATGTATAAACAAATCTAACTACATACAGTGGAAGCCGCTTAAGGTGGACAGATTGGGGCCGGCCATTTTGTGCGATTGACCCAATGTTCGTCTTAAGCAGCTTCCACTGTATAATAAAATCGGTACTTTAGTCACTTAATCATTATTACATTTTTATTTCACACTAGGTTCATAATTTCTAAAGAATACCAAGAGCAAGTTACTTGGCTATGCATACAACATTTTAAATGCCTACTTAGTAATTTAAACAAACAAAAGCAACTTACTGCTATTCTTAAGGCTTTCTTGAACAAGCAATAGCACATCTGGTTGGTTCATCTGAGAAACAAAATACCACAAATGCAGTGATTCAATGATTTTTAAAAAAATGTTATTTGCATTACACTTCAAAATTCCATCACTTTTGGAGGTTATTTTTATTTTTTTTATAATATATATATTAAAAAATTGTACATACTTGGGATATCTATTCTTTAGGCTTTTGAGATCCCATAAATGCATTTCTGCCACAAAATAAATGCAATTTTCTGAATGAAACAAAATTAAAAGCTGTTCCACATGCTCCCTTAATTTTCAATCACACTATTTCGCATTAATCTGAATAATCCTTGCATTCAGATATAGCTCCTTATCAACACTGTTGAGACGTCTCAAAGCATTTCACAGGATATACTGTAAAGTGGTGTTACTGTGTATTTTGTGGGTATTTTACACAAACAGACATGGAGTGGGTGACCAATTTTATTTGGGAGTCTGTCAGGATACCGGAAGAAACTCCCTTCTCTTTTTGAATAATATCATGGAATCTTTAACCTCCACCTGACGTTGGTTTAATGCCTCACCTAAAGGATGGCACCTATGACAATGCAGCACACTGCCAGCCCTACACTGGAGTATCAGCATAGATGATATGAGTTCCAAGTCCTGACATGGGACTTGAACATATATCCTTCCGACTCAAGAGGCAAGAACACTACCATCCGAGCCAGCCTGACATGGTTATAATGGAACAGATTAATACTATTCAAAGCTATACAATATTGCATTTGATGCATGCAACATACAAATTTTGAAGCATGGAATGAAAAACTTGGTACTCAAAATGTATAAACAAGAAAGTTCACACCTAAACAATACAGAACACATAACAACAACACAAACCTCTAAATCTAAACAAAGATATTGAAAACCCAAATAGCTAAATTCAGGTGGTGTATTAGTGTGCAGAGTTCTTTGTCCCATTTCTAGAAACTTACATGAACTGGAAATTGTATATCAATGTTGAGGTCCGAATCACTAAAACCAAATCTTGTACAAGAGGAGCCGTATAGTCTAAGTGAGCAATCTGTGTGATATAAGAAAAAATATTATATAGATAAGTTATTGTAGAATTACAATTACAATATAAGTAATATAAGTATTACTTTAAAGCACAACAACAATACATTTGTATAGCGCATTTCATGTTGGGAGGACGTCCCAAGGCGCTGGACAATTAGTGTTTCGGACCCGAGCTGGGAGTCGGGATCAGGGAAGGTGGAGGGTGGGTGGGGGGAGGAAGGTGGCCGAAGGCACGGTCGAAGAGGAGAGTCTTTAAGGAACCAAGGAAGGGGGCGAGGTGGGATGGAGTTCCAGAGGGTGGGGGCAGAGTAGCTGAAGGCTTGGCTGCCAATGGTGGGGCGGGTGAAGCAGGGGATATGCAGCAGGCCGGAGCCCGCTGAGCGAAGGGAGTGGGTAGGTTGGTAGGGGGTTAGGTCACAGAGGTTGGGGGGAGCAAGGTCATAGAGGGCTTTGAAAGTGAGGACCAGGATCTTGAACTGTATTCGCTGTGTGATGGGAAGCCAGTGGAATCAGGCGAGGATGAGGGTGATAGGGTCGCAGAGCCTGGTGTGGGGGAGGACACGGGCTGCAGAGTTCTGGATGATCTGCAGCCTATGGAGGGAGGAGTTGGGAAGGCCGACAAGCAGGGGGTTGGCATAGTCGAGCCTGGATGTAATGAAAGCAGGTATGAGGGTTTTGGCGAACTGAGGGGTGCGGAAGTGGCGGAGTCGGTTGATGTTGCGGAGGTGGGGAAGGCAGCGCGGGTCATGGCATGGGTGTGAGGGAGAAAGGACAGTTGAAGGTCAAACAAGATGCCTAGGTTCCTGACTGGCTTGGTGAGGTGGAGTGTGTATCCGTGAATGCTGATGCTGCCAGTGTCTGAGGTGTGGAGGCACTGACACGACCCAATCAGCAGGGCCTCGATCTTACTGATGTTTAACTTTATAAAGTTAGTTCTCATCCAGGACTTGATGTCTGACAGGCAGTCTGTGAGAACATAAGAAGTAGGAGCAGGAGTAGGCCATTCGGCCCCTTAAGCCTGCCCTGCCATTTAATAAGATCATGGCTGTTCGTCTAACCTAATTCCATTTACCCGCCCTATCCCCATAACCCTTAATCACTATTTTTTTTTTAAAAATCTATCGATCTCAGTCTTGAATATGTTCAATGACTGAGCAGCCACAGCCTTCTGGGGTAGAGAATTCCATAAATTCACTACCCTATGAGTGAAGAAATGTTTTCTCAACTTAGTTCTAAAAGGCTGACCTTTAATCCTGAGACTATGATCCCTAGTTTTAGAATCTCCAACCAGGGGAAACAGTCTCACACTATCTACCCTGTCAAGACCCTTAAGAATATTAAGACCAATATTCCAGGTGCACAGTATTCCCAGTGGGGTCTTACCAACACCCTGTACAATTACAGCAAGACTTCCCTACTCTTGTACTCTAACCCCTTTGCAATAAACGCTAACACGCTATCAGCCTTCTTAATTGCTTGCTGTACCTGCATACTAACTTTTTGTGATTGGTGAATACTAACACTATCTAGTCTCTCCCCATCTAAAAAAAATCTGATTTTCTATTTTTTATACCTAGGTGAATAACTTCCCAATTCCCACATTATACTCCACCTGCCACCTTCTTGCCCACTCACTTAACCTGTCCGTATTCCTTTGCATCTCCTTGTGTGCCCCTCACAGCTTACTTTCCCACGTAGCTTTGTATCATCCGTGAATTTAGACACAATAAGCTCTATTTCCTCATCTAAGTCATTGATGTAGACTGTAAACAGTTGAGGCTCAAGCACTGATCCTTGCGGCACTCCACTAGTCACAACCTGCCAATCTGAGAAGTACCCGTTTATCCCTACTCTGTTTTCTGCCTGTTAACCACTCTTCGATCCATGCTAATACATTTCCCTTAATTCCATGAGCCCTAATCTTATGTAAGAACCTTTTATGTGGCATCTTATCGAATGCCTTCTGAAATTCCAAGTACTCTATATCCACTGGTTTCCCCCTATCTAACCTGCTAATTACATCTTCAAAAAACTCAAAGATTTGTTAAACAAGATTTCCCTTTCATAAAGCCATGTTGACTCTGCCTAATCATGTTATGACTTTCTAAGTGCCCCACGATGAAGTCCCTAATTATAGACTCTAGAATTTTCCCTGCCACCGATGTCAGGCTAATTGGTCTATAGTTCGCCATTTTTTCTCTCCCACTTTTCTTAAATAGCGGCGTTACGTTTGCGACCTTCCAATCAACGGGAACCATTCCAGAATCCAGGGAATTTTGGAAGATCAAAAACAATGGATCCACTATCTCTGCAGCCACCTCTTTTAAAGCCAAAGGAAGCAGGCCATCAGGTCCAGGAAATTTATCAGCTTTTAGTCCCATCGATTTCTCTAGTACCATTACTTTACTGATATTAATTTCTTTAAGGTCCTCACTAAGATTAGTTTCTTGGTTCCCCACTATTTTTGGTAAATTTTTAGTATCTTCCAACGTGAAGACAGAAGCAAAGTATCTGTTTAATGACACTGCCATTTCTTCTTTCCTATTATAATTTCTCCTGTCTCTGACTGTACGGGACCCACATTTACTTTTGTTAATCTCTTCTTCTTTATATACTTGTAAAAACTCTTACAATCTGTCTTTATAGCTCCAGCTAATTTGCTCTCATATTCCATTTTCTCCCTCTTAATGTGTTTCTTGGTTATCCTTTGATGATCTCTAAAGCCCTTCCAATCCTCAGGTTTACAGCTCTTTTTGGCAATATTATAGACCTCTTTTAATTTTATACTCTCCTTAACTTCTCTAGTTAGCCATGGTTGAACCACTTTTCCCTTGGAATTTTTATTTCTCAATGGAATATGCGTTCGCTGGGAATTATCTAATATATTTTTGAATGTTTGCCATTACTTGTTTACTGTCATATCTTTTAATTTACTTTCCCAGTCTATCTTAGCCAAATCATCCCTCATTCCTGAAAAGTTGGTTTTATTTAAGTTTAAGAACCTTGATTCGGACTTAATTACATCACTCTCAAATTTAATATTAAATTCCATCATATTATGGTCACTCTGCCCTAGAGGAGCCTTAACTTCAAGATTACTGATCAGCTCTGCTTCCTTACACAATACAAGATCTAGGATCGCCTGTTCCCTGGTTGGTTCCTCAGCATACTGTTCTAGAAAACTATCTCTAATGCTTTCCATAAGCTCATCCTTTAATTTACTTTTGCCAATTTGGTCTTCCCAGTCTATATGAAGATTAAAATCACCCACTATTATTGTATTACCCTTGTTACATGCTCCTTTAATTTCCTGATTAGTACTCCGCCAATACTGTAACTGCTGTTCGGGGGGGGGGGGGGGGGGGGTCTATAAACTATTCCCACTAGTGTTTTCTATACCTTGTTGTTACTTAGCTGCATCCATACTTATTCTACATCCTGATTTTCTGACTTAAGATCCTTCCTCGCTACCCAACCTCCACCTTGTTTTCCATATTGCCTATCTTTCCTGTATGGTCAGGTACCCTGGAATGTTTAGCTCCCAACCTTGGGTCTCCCTGTAATCACGTCTCAGTAATGGCTACTAAATCGTATCCGTTTATCTCTATTTGTGCTATTAATTCATCTATTTTGTTATGAATGCTTTATGCATTCTGGTATAGCGCCTTTTTACTATTTCCCCTACTCATTACTATTTCCCATACTCATTAATGCCCTATTTTCTTTGACAAACGTTTTCCCTACTTGACACACTCTTCTTCATCTCCCAAGTCGCTACTCTGCTCTGCAGCCTTGACTTTTCTTATTTGCTTTGTGAGTTTATGTTTAACCGTAACTTGCCCTCCCCCCCTTATTACTTTAAAGCTCTATCTACCTCCCTAGTTATTCATTTTGCCAGGACACTGGTCCTAGCCCGGTTTAAGTGGAGCCTATCCTGATCGAAGAGCTCCCTCTTTCCCCAATACTGGTGCCAGTGGCCCATAAAATGAAACCCCTGCCTCCCGCTCCACTCTTTCAGCCACATGTTTAACCCTTTAATCTGCTTGTCCATGTGTATCGCTCAGGTAGTAATCCCAAGATTATTACCTTAGAGGTTCTGTTTTTTAATTTCATCTCTAGCTCATTAAACTCCCTCATCAGATTGTCATTACTACTACTACCTATGTCGTTGGTTCCTATGTGGATCACAATAATTGGATCCTCCCCCTCCTGCTCCAAGTTCTTCTCCAACTGCGAAGAGACGTCCTTAATCACAGCCTTCGTGACTCCTGGTTGCGGCTGCAAAGTGTATCTGTCCTCCTGACTGTATCGTTCCCTATCACAACTACATTCCTTATTGCTCACCTCACTTGTGTGGCCTCCTGTACAGAGGTGCTGTGGTCAGTTTGCCCATCCTTCCTACAGGCTTCCTTACCCACAGAGGTTGCAAGTACCTCGTACCTGTTGGATAAAGTTAAAGTCCGAGGCTCCTCCATCACTCCTCTGGTGTCCCCTTATCTGCCTGACTGTCAGTCGCGCCATCCTGTCCCTGACCACTGACAAGATCTGTACATCTATTGAGCTTCAGGGGAGTGACTGCTTCCTCGATCAAAGTATCCAGGTAGCTCTCCTCTTCCCTAATGCTGCGCATAGTCTGCACTTCATATTCCAGCTCAGCAACTCTGAGCTGAAATTTCCTTAGGTACAGATACTTTCTGTAGATATAGCTGCACGGATAGCAGTGATCTTGGAATTGAGGCAGAGAGGTAGAGTTGTGCGTCATCCGCACATAAATGTGGAAGTTGACCCCGTGTCTGCGGATGATGTCACCAAGGGGGAGTATGTAGATAGTGAAGTGAGGGCTAAGGACAGAGTTCTGAGAGACGCCACACGTAACAGTGCGGGGCTGGAGGAGAAGCCGTTAGTGACGACAAAGTGGAGACCGTGGGAGAGGTAGGAATTGAACCAGGCAAGTCGCAGGTCAGCGAAGATGGAATTGAGAGGAGAGGTGGTGTAGAAGGATAGAGTGGTCGATGGTGTCGAAGGCAGCAGAGAGGTCAAGGAGGATAAGGAGGCAGAGAGAATCCTGGTCACAGATGTTCAGAATGTCGTGTCAAAATATTGCAATTTTACATTGCACAAGATAAAACAACAATATTGTAGAACAAAGCATTAATATAAAGTGAATTATTTGTGAAATAATTTACATTGAACAACGTTGTGCTAAAAGATATTATTGTACAAACATGTTAAAAGTAAATGCTTTACCTGGTAATAATTGGTGGACAATCTTTTCCATTGCCTTGGTAATTTCATGCCTTTTAATCACATCGTTTTCAGTTATGCCACATTCTTTTACCACCTTTTCAATGGCAGCGTCAATTGCTTTTACTTGTGATGGACGTGGAGGAGGAAGCATTGTGAGCATTTCTTCTTCTCGTTTTTCCTGTAAACACAAACTTCTAAATTTAGCCAGAACAAAAGTGGTTGAGGGAGGAGAGGCGATCGAGGGAATGTTCATCAGTGTCAAAAATGACACAGAGGTTGAGGAAGATAAGGAGTTAGAGGAAACCCTGGTTGCAGAGAGCAGTACATAATAATCCCTTCAAGAAATAAGTTAATAATAATGTCACTCAACCACAATTGTTTGTGGGACACTGCTGTGCGCATTCATCTGTCATGTTTCGCCCACAAAAATATACAGTCAATTCACTTTACATTAAATTCTGTGAAGCGCTTTGAGACGTCTCAACGACGAGATAAGGTGCTAATTCAAATGCAAGATTATTATTACATTGTTGGTAATTTGGGCCATCTTAGTGCTGGGGTGGAAACTGGACTGAAGGGGATTGAGCAGGAAATTGGGAAAAGAACATAAGAACATAAGAATTAGGAGCAAGAGTAGGCCATTTGGCCCCTCGAGCCTGCCCCGCCATTCGATAAGATCATGGCTGATCTTCAGGCCTAACTTTAATTACCTGCCCTATCCCCATATCCCCTAATCCCTCTATTTTTTAAAAATCTTTCAGTCTCAGCCTCGAAGATGTTCAAGGACTGAGCATCTACAGCCTTCTGGGGTAGTGAATTCCATAAATTCACTACCCTCTGAGTGAAGAAATGTTTCCTCAACTCTGTTCTAAAAGGCTAACCCTTAATTTTAAGACTGTGACCCCTGGTTATAGATTCTCCTATCAGGGGAAACAGACCCTCAGTGTCTACTTTATCCAGCCCTTTAAGAATCTTATATGTTTCAATAAGATCTCCCCTAATTCTTCTGTACCCTAGAGAATATAGGCCTAGTTTATTAAGCCTATCCTCATAGGTCAGTCCCCTCATCCCAGGAACTAACCGAGTGAATCTACGCTGCACCCTCTCTAGGTCAAGTATGTCCTTTTTTAAATAAGGAGACCAAAAGTGCACATAATATTCCAGGTGCAGTCTCACCAGGGCCCTATACAGTTGCAGCAAGACTTCCCTACTCTTGTACTCTAAACCTTTTGCAATGAATGCTAACATGCCGTTCGCCTTCTTAGTTGCTTGCTGCACCGGCAAACTAACTTTTTGAGACTGGTGTACAAGGACACCCAAATCCCTCTGCACACTAACACTATCTAATCTCTCCCCCTCTAGAAAATAATCTGTTTTTCTATTTTTTCTACCTAGGTGAATAACTTCACAATTCCCCACATTAAATTTCATCTGCCACCAACTCGCCCACTCCCCTAGCCTATCTATATCCCGTTGCAATCTTTCATGATGTAAATTGTAAATAGCTGAGGTCCAAGCACTGATCGTTGTGGCACTCCACTAGTCACATCCTGCCAATTCGAGAATGACCCGTTTATCCCTACTCTGTTTTCTACCCGTTATAGGTGAAAGGGAGGTTGAGTAGCATCAGGATTTTGGAAAGGAAAGGCAATTTGGAGATGGGTCAGTAGTTGGGAGAGTTTGGACGGATCAAAGTTATATTTTTTGAGAATGAGTGATAATGATAGTTTTGAAGGGTAAGGGACAGTGCAGGAAGAAAGCCAATGTCCTGCAGCTGAGGACAGAAAAGGGCTGTTTGGGTGATCAGCAGCTGGGTGAGGAGGGGGCGTCAAGGAAGCAGGTAGTAGATTTCATGTGGGTGATGGCGAAGGAAAACGAGGGAGAAATGGGGATAAAAGTGTCCAGTGTACGGCTGTGCGGAAGACCGAGGACTGTGGAGGGGAGGAAGCAGTTGCGGCCTTATGGATTTTTATTAATTTTGCAAACGAAAGTCCTTGGCATTTAAAATCAGAGGTGAGGAATGGAGGTGGTATTTTTGAAGATGATCACTTGTTGATGGACCTCATGGCCAGTGTTGTGCCACCTGTGTTTGAGAAGTTGGGATAGGGATTTGAGGAAGTGGAGATTGTTGTTATATCAGAGGAAGTGGGTGGGGAAGGAGAAGTTCTGGATTTCAGGAGGGCAGGTGTATTGAACAGGAAAGAGAGATAGCCATTGAGCAGCTTGATATTGGCCTCGAGATTGCTACAGGTGAGCCAGAGAGAGGTCTTGTTCTTCTTTATAGACTACATTAGTCCACTAGTTTTGAGTATATAGTCGATAAAGCCCCCGTATAAAACGAATACAATTTTACTTTCAACCCACCTTTATATATTTCTTGTGTCGCTTTTCTTTGATGTGCTTGTGGGCAGATGACACAGATTCAATCAAAACATCACAGAGTTTACAGGTGTATTTAGCGGTAGGGCAACTTCGGGCACGCTGAAAAGAAAAATATAACATGCAACTCAAATGTTTTCAAGCTTTATAATGAGTATAAAACATGCTCAAAATGTACAGCAAGTGGTTACAATTTGATAAAGTGCTATGTCAAATGCAAACATTATTATTATATACAGCAAGTAAATCAGCATCCAAAGAGAACAAATTAATACTTCAGGTGCGATTCTTCACCAGCATTTGGAACTCTCTCAGTTCTGATGAAGGATCATATCAGAAATGTTAACTTGTCTGTTTCTTTCAGGAGTGTGCACTCCAGGTTACATTTTTGTTTTGAAATTCAGATTTTGTTTAAGAATCTATTTTCCTCTTTGATTTATAATATGTATATCGAGACCAATTCAGATCATCCGTTTACTTGTTTGTGTAGTTTCTGCTTTGAAGTTGAAACTATCTAAATTCATTTCAAATAGAATCTTAATAGTTGGAAAGGTCACATTGCTTTGGGCTATATTTAACCGTCTCAGAACTGAATGGACAGTGTTCAATTCCATAACTATGCCTATTGAATAACTATTCTTAAATGCGAAGTGGCAAGTCAGTGGCAGGCAAGTTTTTTTGGGTTAGATTCGGATTCTAGCAGTCACTGATTGCTCAAACATTATCATCATAATGCACACCCAAATCAGTAATAGAGGTGAAGTTATTTTGTGAAATACTTCAATATTTGTGAATAACATTTCATAGCAGTTAATATGAATCCAGTCATAGTCATAATTGTAACATTTCATTACAGAATTGATACAGTATTTTATACAACACAGAAAACTGGCCCAAAAGTAATTTAGAAAGGACAAGTTGTCATTACCCTTTTCAATCTATAGATAAATTCTCGACCTAGTCTTTCCTCAGCTTGACACAATCCTAGTCGTTCCTCCTTTGTTAATTTGGATTCATCAATAACAGGTGCACTGATATCTTCAAATTGTTCATTCATTCTCTTTATTTTCCTGGACCGTTTTCGCCCTTCAAAACAAAGGAGGTTCAGTCAGGCACAAATAATACAATATTTGCTACAGCCGCTGTAGACAGATAAAGGCACACATTGCCCACTAAGCAATCTAAAAAACAAAGATAACAATCAATATCTACTTCATTTTAGATAAACCCTTTTCTTAAAAAAAACAAAGCCCTCATCTGTCATTTAGAATGGTCATCTTGGCTCAGTAGTACCACTCGTGCCTCTGAGTCAGAGGGTTGTGGGTTCAAGTCCCACATCAGGACTTAGAATCAAACAGTCTAAGTTGACATTCCAGTGCAGTGCGGAGGGGCTGTCAATTGTCGGAGGTGCCGTCCTTCAGAACCAATGTTAAATCGTGGTCCGGCCTTCTCAGGTGAATGCTAGCGATCCCATAGCACTATTCAAAAAGAGAAGGGAGTTTCTCCCGGTGTTCTGGCCAACAGTCCTCCAAATAAAATTGTTCACAGCTGTTTGTGCAACACTGCTGTGTGTAACTGGCTGCTGGAATTAGATAGCTCTTTGGCAAAGAAATCAATTGAGGAATACGAGTGATTTACAATTGTAAATTACACCTGATAATAATCCCTCAAGAAATTTTAAAAAATAATTTGGTCACTCAATGCACGACTATTTGTGGGACACTGCTGTGCACAATTGGCTGCTGCGTTTCGTCCACAAATATACAGTCAATTCACTTTACAGTACATTCTGTAAACCGCTTTGAGACGTCTCGAAGATGTGAAAAGCACTATATTAAATGCAAGGATTATTATTATTTTTATTTAGGATTATGTATTTTGTTTACTTTCGGCCTGACCAGATGGACTCTAATAGTCTCTTCCAATTCTATATATCCCTATGGGGATACATTAGAGCAGGGTGACACGTGATTATTCTACACATTCATAACATGGGTCGCAATTGCCCATCCCTGTTTTAGAGGATGTAATGAACTTGAATATGGTAGGAATTTCTATGAGAGCACTATTTATAACTGTATAATGCAGCATTCAAGTTTATAATTCAGCTATTGGCTCCGTTTACACAAGTTTACAACAATCATGTTCGATTTTGTGATTCACACTTACAACACCCAGGAAGTGATGCATTTTGCTTTATGTGTAACATCTGGCCCATTTTATTTTGTATTCCATCAGGCATCCGCCACAATCCACTTGGATTAATAACTAAACTACAATAAAATATCATGACAACTACATCAATGAAGACAGGTTTTCTTGTGGATCATCTCCCATAATGATCCATTGTATTTTAATACATGTCTACACTAGTGTTTCAGTATCCTATAAGGTTAAATAGCCCAGTTATCCTATGGAATATAGAAGATTAGAATAAAACAGAGGTGTTCAGTATCATACATATGAACTGTGAGAAGAGCACAGGACTCTCATTTTTGGGTTATATCTTGATGGGATTGGTTGATTCATCACATTATCATAGAAAAGTTCTCAAAAACACAAACTGATAAAGACAGACTGCTGACAATATGAGGGCTTGCTAACACAGTTGCACAGTATTAAGTAATGATGCCCACTGGGGCGCGCGCGCATGCACGCACACATACTTATTATGAGTTTGTTCAGTTCTATCCTTACCCCTTTAGAGTTTGCAGGCAGTTGCCATGTTAATAGAATATCTACATGGTACTCATGCAAGTTCACCTACAAATACACAGTTATTACACAGCACAATAAAAACCTGTGTAGTGTTTTGAGATGTCTCTGTGACACGATAAGGCACTGCACCAAGTGAAATTATTATTAAGTTATTAAGTAAATTGTTCAAACTATGATAGGTCCCACTAAACTGGACTCGAATAAGAAAATGTAGAGATGAGGAAACAATTACCTTCACTTTGCCTTTCAAATGCTTCTTCATTTCCTGGCTCAATATGAAGCTGCCTTCGGACGCTTCTGGTTTTATCACCACTTGTTTGAGTCTTACTGTTCCATTCTATTCTACTGTACTCAAGGTTTTTTGCTGGAGACTTGTACTTTAACTCAAAAGGACTGTCCCTCCAGTTCCTCTCCACATTCTGAACTGGAGACCCATATTGCTCAGGTATCCGCTTTCTACTTTTTTCTTTATAACCATCATTCATCCATGTCCCCGGGCTGTAACCTCCTCTTTTGGCAGTATTTGGGCTGCTCGAGATGCTTTGAGCACCTTTCCTTGGACTTGTACCATAGTTCTCCATTACATCTTTTTCTTTTGGCAGCAGGTTCTCTGACCTTTTATTATAACCTGTTAAATAATTTCCAGTCTGTAAATGATTTTCTTGGTGCACAGTACCCCTCCATGAGCTGGTTTCTTCCCTGCCAATTGCCATCTCTTTGCTCCTTCTCGGAAAACTAGGCCTTTCCTCCATTTTAGTTTCTCAAATCGTGAGTCCGTATAAGAGTTTTGATTTTTCTGAAAAATAAGAAAAAATTGAATAAATTTACCTGAATAAATTTGATCAGTTCATAATATTCACTAATCTTATAATTAATAAATCCTGGCTTTATGAATATATTTTGAAATATTTTGCTAAGTAAATCTTGGGGATCCATATCCCAGTAAGTAAACCTGCATTATAATGAAATGGTTTACTACAGTATGCTATAGTAAATACTTGCTATATTTGTATCTGGCAATTCTCAACTGATTCTGTCCATACTCCTCCATTCCTCACTGAAACATTTGGGTGAAGCGTACCGAATGAGGTGGACAAGTTGTCAATGCAGGCTAAACTTAAGGCTTCCACAGACCTCTACTCAAATAGGTTGGTTTGAGATAAGATGAAGTCAGTCCATACCAGCAACAAAAAGGAAAAAACAAACTGAATAATCGGGCAGGGAAAAATCATACCCCAGGAAGGAAGGAGAGACACACAACTGAAGAATGAAACAGACCAATGAAAGCAAAAGGTATCACTGAGTCGTTTTCCAAATGTGTCCCGAAGCTTTGGTGACAGAAGTTATTGAGGCATCCGTGTAATTCCTGGAGCAATTCCATTGACTTCTAAACAGAGTTCTGGATGTACTTTGCATCCAAGCTACTTTGCTAGAAAATATACTCCTTGCCTGTTCCTAATTATATTAAGGTTAGGTGGTATTCTCTTTTCTGAAATTATATGCATTTCTTATGTGTTTCTTCTCCTTAAAGTACAGTAATGAATGTTAAACATCACATGGAGGTCTCAATGGTCCTCAGGAAGCCATTGCTTGAACTCAAAACACTCAAAAAGAGCAGAGGTGCCTGGAATGTACACTCGGAACGGGAATGTTCCATTTCCTACCAAGCCTCAGTAGAAAGATTAAAATACCCATCATTCTCACCTAATCTTGCCTCTTGGCAGCACTAAATAAGCAACAGGATGACATTTATGTTTCATAACACAGAAGTTTTGCAGACTTTTAAAATTAATTTGTTTACAATTGTTTGCCTGCTTCTCTAGGCCAAATAGCTTTTATAGATTTCTCAGTGTATGTCAGGTCACTGAAAAACTTACAAAAGCTACTTGGCTGAGGAAATATTTTTAAATAAAGACCATTACAGTAACAAATCCACTCCAATGTTATAAGCATTACAACAATATTAACCTAAATACAATATACATATATTTTTTGAACAGCAACGAGATCCTTTAGACCCATTTTCCTGTCCCCCATTCTCTCTGCCCTATTAAAATATTGTTAACTTTGATTTCACCTATGTCTACCCAGTCTAACCTGTTTTAGTTTTTCATATCCTCAAAAATGAAGAATGAATCTTTCAAAATAATCTTTTTTCTTCTTCCTGACTTCCCGTGGAGATGGGAACATTTTAATTCAAGAAGTTTTGGTCATTCTAGCTATTTGGGGTCATTGCTGGGCACAAACTGGGTGCTGCATTCATTTAAAAAATTCAGTCACTACATTAAATCTGTGAAGTATTTCTAAGACTTTCTCCTGACTTGAAAGTCGCTAATGCAAGGATTATTATTTATCAAAGGCAAGATGTGGACATGGATTCAAAATTGGCTGAAGAGTGTAGTAGTTAGGGAAGTTAGGTCAAAATTAGGGGAGATTTCAAGTAAGGGTCTGCACTGGGACCACTCCTGATCCTTGTATACATTCTTATTAATACCTGGACTCGTAGACCCAAAGTGTTAAGTTTGCAGGTGACATCAAGTTGGTGAAGTGTACAATCAGTGGAGGCAACAATGGTCATAGAAAGACAGCTTGATAGAGCATGCACATGGGCTGATGACTGGCAAATGATTCAATAAAGATAAATGCAAAGTAATACATATACTGCATATTTTTTTCTTAAAATATGTAGATGGGAGGAGAGTAGGGTGGGTTTTCTGAGCTCAAATAGGTTGAAGCATCTTTATTTAAACCGCTCTGATCTGTTGAACATTCTTGGCTCTTGCCACTGGGTAAGAAAGTTGCCCCATGCCAGGACGAACTCACATAAATTTAAGGTGACACTCCAATATAATGCTGGGGTGTGCTGCATTGTTGGAGGTACAGACCTATAAATGAGTTAAATCAAGGTACCATCTGCCTGTTCAGGTGGACATTAATGATCCCATAGAATGCTTTGAAAAGAGAAGGGAGTTTCTCCCTGTGTCCAGGCCAATAATCCCCCAAAATAAAATTGGTAATTTCTTTCATGGCTGTTTGTGGGATATTGCTGTGTGAAAATTGCCTGCCACATTATCAGAAGCAAGGATTATTATGTGACATGCTACTTAGCATAGCGTGTCATTAGACATACAAGCTTGATGAGTAAATAAGTAACCCAGTCCATCTTGGTCTCAAACTGTTTAACACTTCACAGTGCATCACTGAGGTGATCGCGAAGACCTTCCAAAATAATAAAAAGGAAAATAACGAGCAGTGAAAATGCAGTTGGCCTTTTCCTTTCTTCTGGTGGCCATTGCACCGGGTCGGACATAAACAGCAGCAGCTCAACGGTCTCATTGTGTGAGTGAACGGCTGCACGAGGTATAATAGGTCTAACTCCATTGGTGGGAGATAAGGAAACTAACAGTGCTAATAAAGTAAAGGGGAAAGGCGACAAACGATGGAGCTTGCATTAATGAAAGCAGTCTTGGCCGACAAGATGCGCGCCCGTGCGCGCTGGGAAGGTCTTGCAAAGGAGGTGACAGATTGGACATCATCAGCATCACAGAGACACGGTGGAATGATTCCAATCAATGCCATACAAATCTAACCCTCTCCCCCCCCACCACCACCACCACCAAAAAAAAATAAACTTATAACAGAACCACAGTGAGCAAGGTTATACAGCACACAGAAACAAACAAACAAATAACACCAAGCTCAACTGCTTATTTCTCTGTAGAGAGAGTAAAAGAAAACGACAGTTTGATTCACTCACTGTATCTGTACGCAGCGAATACAATTTTTTTTTAAAAAAAGGTTTGATCCTCTCCCCCCCCCCACTCCTCCTCCTCCTCCTCCTCCTCCACCCCGGGTCTGTGTAGACGAGAGAGAATAAAAAGAAAACGAGTTTTATCGTCGGTGTGTAGAAAGAATAAAAGAAAAGTTGATTCACTCTGTGCCTGCGCCAGAGAGAAGAGGAAGGAAAGAAAATAACGGGTATTAATCCTCTTCCCCCCCCCTCTCCCCCTTCCCGTGTCTGTGAGGGGAGAATAAGAAGAGTTTTATTCCGTGTCTGTGTGTATCTGTCTGTCTGTGTGTGTGTGTGTCTGTCTGAGGAGAGAATAAAAGAGAGCAGTTCCTCGCTAACAGGAACATGGGAACAATGGCGCCGTGTAACATGTAGAGAGTACTCCCCCGGGCCTGGTCGGGGCCTACCTCAATCTGTCCTGTCTGTGTCTGTGTCTGTCCCGCACGGGGCCGCCGACCGTTACCCCGCCCGGGTTCAAACCAACCACTTCCGCTCTCCCCGGGGCTCGCGGCCGACACCACGCGACCCGACGCTCCCGTTTGTAGCCCAACGTCCCGCCAACAGCAGCCCCCGAACTGACGTCGCGTCGCGTCGCGTCGCCTCCCCGTGGGCCAGCGATAGGGTTGTGTGCTTTTCGAAACTGTGTAAGAAACGGTGTGAAACAGACAGAGAGAGAGAGAGAGAGAAAAAGCCATGTTTCGCGGTTTTATATATATATATATATAGATATATTTGTTTTAAATTAAAAACCAGGCCCCGGCCCGAGAGCTGTGGGGTTTTTTTTTCACGTGCAGGGCGGCAAAAACCCGCCCAATTGGGCGTGAACCCGCCCAACATGGCATCATTGGCCCCCAACGCCCTCCTCAATGGGACATTTCTGTGTCACTAACTCTTTCTCTCTCTCTCTCTCTCTCTCACACACATTCTCACTCTCACCTCCTCTCTGCTCAGCCCGGGTACGGCTGCAGCTGCCGCCTGTCCTCCTGCTCCTCTTGTTGTAGGCCTCCGTCTGCGTCTCAACCCCAGACAAACATGGAGAGAGAGAGAGAGAGAGAGAGACCAGGAGCCACTGTCTGCCTTCCTTCCCTCTCTCCGGTCTCTTCCCCCAAAACCCCACAACCTCCCAAAACAACTATCCCTACAGGTCATCCAGCAAACTGCAAGACCCTACTTCCTCTCCTCATCTCTTCCTCTCCCACCCCTCACAACTCCAAATAAAAACAACCAGAGATACCCCCCCTCCCGGACAGTACACTGACACCAGCTTCACTGTCACCCCCTTGTCTTCTCTCCCTGGCACTCGGCTGTGTCATTACTTTGATGCATTCTTCAGACGATTTTTTTTTCTTCTTCTCTGAATCCAAACGATTGAAAATGGAGGTTGTTGGAGGCTGTTTGTTTTGTTTTGTTTTGTTTGTTGGGGTGGAGGGCTTGTGTTGCCATCCAATGCTGTAGTATTGATGTAGCTTCTCTCCGCCTGTGACCAACATCTTTAGATCTCAGCAGGTCAGGCAGCATCTATGGAGAAAGGAAAGTGAGTCGACGTTTCGGGTCCACGACTCTTCGTCCCGTTCTGACGAAGGGTCGAGAACCCGAAATTTTGACTCGCTTTTCCTTTCTTCACAGCTGCTGCCTGACCTGCTGGATGTTCCTCGCGACTTCTGTTTTTGTTTCAGATTTCCAGCATCTGCTGTATTTTGCATTTTATCTTTAGATCTCCCTTTACTTGGTGCTCACCAATACATTTGTCAAATGGGTTGAGACGTTCCTTTATTTTTTTTAAAATTGCAGTTGCCTTGGCAATTTTTTTTTGCGGGTAAATCTTAATATTAGTTTTAATTAAGCTAAATAAGAAGGACCAGAAGCTGATCTAGACATGCTTGAAATGACGACTATGTTACTAAATCGTAGGATGTAGCGACAGTATTCAATCTCATTCTGATTTGCCTACACCACCTTTGCTATCTTAGCTACAGGTATCAGTTTGACACAATGCATATAATATACTGTATTGGCTCGCTGCCAGCCAGATGCTTTACTGTTGGCTCTGCATCATTCCTGGTCAAATGCACAGTGAATGACAACTACAGAACTCAGCTAATTTGCATCCAATTACTGGTTAATTTCTAATGCTATTATTGAGCTACTGGGGACCAGTATTATAAATCTTAAATACAGTTCATATATACGCAGGACGTGGTACCTACCTCGATTGGTATGCAGAAAGATAAGAAGTGCTCGTGGTACTCTGCATTTCCAACTGGTAGAACCACCTCTCAAATTGGGCTAGGGGGACACAGGTGTCTGAGCTGTTTGCAGGAGGCTAGGGGCAAAGATCTCAAACATCTCATGAGTTGTGAAACTACCAAAGTACTCACAGGGAGTTTCTGGTACCTGCTATCCACCAAGGGAAAGCCCATACTGCACTTGTCAGATGTCTAATAATTCGCTGCCTCATTTCACCTACAAAATGTACAGTTAATTCACTTCACAGTATATTCCGTGAAGCACTTTGAGACGTCTCGATGATGTAATTAGGTTCTCTATCAAATGCAAGGATTACTATTAGGAGTGACTACTGGATCTGCTGCGTGCATGGGATGTGGGGAGAGGGGTAGTAAGCAGGGATTCTTGGGGGACGAAGTGACTCCAAGTTGATATACTTGACAGTGGAATGTCGGAATCAAGTCAGTCCTTTGTGGTGGTCTCAGGGATTCGTTCCTGAGCCAGGCAGGTAGGGGATCCACTGCGTTGGATGTTGATGACAGACCAGCCAACCTGGCTCTTCAGCAAGACTGGGGGCAGAAATTCTTGGATCTAACTGGACAAACTCTCCAGAGAGGTCGGCTTTGGTCAGTTGGATACGTGCAAGTGAGAACACGCCTATTTGGTGGAGGAGAGCATTTCCCATTCTGGCGCAGTTGGAGGCCGTGCGGCTCGAGCTCTGGGAGATGAGTCTCTGTTTATCTTTAGTCCGGTTATATGAATAGTTTTGTTTATTGAATCATTTTTGCCTGTCAAATTGTATATTCAGTTAACAGAATTTCACTTTATTGCAGCACTACTTCAACAACAGCAACAATAAAAAGTGTCTCTAATTGTATGAAGGATACACCTAGTGTAGAAGAATGTGCAAACCTTGTAATGGAAATGTCTCCAATAACAGTATTCTGATCAATCAGAATATTGGGTAAATAAATGTCCATAAGCTGTCCTTTCTCCCTCATATCCGCGCCACAACTGGCACCGCCTTCCATCACCTCCGGAACATTGCCAGAGTACGGCACTACCTCACCCCTCACGCTGCTGAAACCCTGGTCCACGCCTTTATCACCTCAAGGCTGGACTATGGGAACTCTCTCCTCGCCGGCCTTCCCGGCACCTCCCTCCACAAGCTGCAGGTCATTCAGAACTCTGCAGCTCGTGTACTGTCCCGCACCAGGCTTCGCGACCACATCACTCCCACCCTCGCTCGCCTCCACTGGCTCCCCATCCCCCAGAGGATTGATTTCAAGATCCTCATCCTCACCTACAAGGCCATTCACGGCCTTGCTCCCTCCTACCCCTCCAACCTACTATCCCCCTACCTACCTGCTCATACCCTCCGTTCCTCTGGCTCCGGTCTACTCCACATCCCACGCCCCAACCGCCCTACCATCGGTGGTCGGGCTCTCAGCCCCGAGGCTCTGGAACTCTATCCCCCAGTGCCTTTGCCTTGCCTCCTCCCTTTCCTCCTTCAAGGCTGGTCTCAAGACCTTTCTCTTTGACCTTCAGCTCTCCTCTCGACTCTCTACCCCCTTCTCGCTCCCTCCCTTCCCTCCCCTCACCCTGACCATTTCCCCCTTGCTTGGGTCCTGACCCAACTGTACAGCGCCTTGGGACGTCCTCCCGACATGAAAGGCGCTTTTTAAATGGAATCTTGTTGTTGTAAAGGAAGAGGACAAATATCTTGAAAGACCTCCCCTACGGACACCTATGTCAGCAATGGAGCTCCCCTCATTTACACTGGATTGACATTGGCATTCACAGAAGGGATGTTTTAGTTACAGATGTGCTGTTTCAAACAGTTTTAAGATAACTGAGGGGGAGTCACGTAACTTGACACGACCTCCATGGGAATCTCGGTTCCCAGGCAACAGCAAGTCTGACTGGCATAAAAATCTCAAAGTAAATTCAAGCAGATGTTTTTAAACGATATGGCCTGCAGACTCATCCGCATGAAATCCGTGTCTGAGAGGTAATTTTTCGTGGTTATTTGGGTGAATCTTTCATGCAATAAATGTTACTCAATGCTTGGATTCATGTTCACATCCATGCCTGAAAAAGAACTTCATTTTGGAGCAGCACTGTATGTTACTTTAATCTGTTACAATTTCTTTATACTGATCTTATGTGAGTTTAATAGCTATTTCCAACCCGAACTGCCAATGATTGACGTTCTGCTGTTATTTTTCAATTTCCTCTCCAGTTTTCCTTCCATCCTCTGCAAAAAAGATAAATTCCACCTTGTACAGCATTAGTCTGTATGACCATTTCTCACTTATCCAAATTTCTTAAATTCAGACGTAATTGTGATATTTGTTTTGAAAAGGTCTCCCAAATTAAGATTGACTTTAAGAGTCTTCCAAAATCCTGCAGAATCTTAAGACTATGGTCAAGACTATGATAAAGTTTGGGTCCAAGACCAAGGTTACCAAGGTCTTGGACATAAAATATGCACAAATTTGTAGAAGCAAATGATTGACCAAGTACAACTCTATTTTCTCTTCGACCGTGCCTTCAGCTCCCCTCTCGACTCTCTACCCCCTCCTCACTCCCTCCCTTTCCTCCCCTCACTCTGACCATTTCCCCCCTGCTTGGGTCCCAACCCAACTGTCCAGCGCCTTGGGACGTTCTCCCGACGTGAAAGGCGCTCTATAAATGAAATCTTGTTGTTGTTGTTGTACTGAGGGTTGGCTCTGCAGTAAGCTGGTTAACATGACAGTCTGTCACTAAGCATTACATTTCAGTCTTGCTTTTATCCATAAGTGAAAATCCTAACTCTTTGTAATGGATAGATGAACGTAAGGTGCAAACAACTGTTTGATAATGCATGAATAGTTGACTTCACTAGTGTACTTACAATGAAACCTTATTTTCCTTTGTGAAAGTTGCAATGTCCAATGTTGTTCACAAGATGGCAGTACAAACAAACAGTACTGAATAGAACCTATTTGAGCCAGGTTTTTGCAAACTTGATTAAAAGTTAGTATTATCTTAATAAGGTATCTGGTTGGCTAGAAAATGGTCACTAATCCCAACAGAATCTTACATTTCAAATTGGTATGCAATATGTTATTTGCGGATGAACGTAGTAGAAAATTAGCCATTTGAAGTGCTTTGAAATGTCCTTCCAAAGGACGCTGCATCGATTGGAAGATTTATTCTCATGCTTATTTGCTTTTTGTAAATGTATTTATAGTTTGAGGTAAATTTCTGCATTCAAGATGAGGAATGTCAGTGCTGGGCAAGAGAATATTGTTGGTACCCACTGTTAGTATCAAACTCGTTCATATAAGGTATAATATAGCCAACTATACAGTGAAGCCCTATCTTCTGTAGCTTACTCTCAACTTTGTGATTTATGTTTATTCCTGTTTACTCAGTGACTGAAATTCACTCATCATCCATAATTACATTAGGGAAATATACGACAGAATATGTAACATAGTGCAGAAAAACCTTCCCTGGACCCATCCCTGCCTTCCAACTACCAGCCCATCTCCAACCTCCCTTTTCTTTCGAAGGTCCTTGAAAGAGGCGTTGCTTCCCAGCTTCGCTCATTTCTCCTACCACTCTCTTCATAAACCCTTCTAATCAGTTTTCCGTGATGCTCACAGCACAGACACTGATCTTGTCAAGGTGACAAATGACATTTTGTCCAACTGTGACCAGGGCTCTCTCTGCCTCCTTGTCCTCTCTGCTGTCTTCGATACTGTGGACCACTCCATCCTTCTCCACCGCCTCTCCTCTCACCTCAACCTTCAAGGTTCTGTCCTTGAATGGTTCAGTTCTTGCCTCTCAATAGCCTCCAATTTGTCTCCACCAACAGTTTCTCTTCCAGGCCTCGCACAGTCTCATGCAGTGTTCCTCAAGGATCTGTCCTCAGTCCCCTCATCTTCAATCTCTACATGCTCCCCCTTGGTGATATCATCCGCAGACATGGGGTCAAATT